TGACCGCGGACGGATTATCCCTGAGTTGGGCTGCAAGGGCTGGGATTTTGCCCTACGCACTTGGGACTGCAGGTCGTCTGTTTTCGGCCTCGTGCTTGGTCGGCAGGCTCCAATTTTCACACGTGTTTGAGCTAACTGAGGGGACATGCATCTTTAATGCATCAATCTCTATTGTCTGAGGGTTATAAGGAGGAGCAATGTGCATAATTCAAGATTCATGTTCTGCCACTTGCAGTAAACCAACGTTGGTATATGTGCAAAGGACGACCCATCGTGCTCCAGACGGGACACACCAGAACTCTTGCCACGGCGCATCTTTACAGCTTTAATCTCATTACTCGCAGGTCACTATTGTTAAATGGATGTAATTTAAATTCGTCTTTGCGGGAGGAAGGAGGGGCCATGCATTTAAATAGCTAGGTCACTAGGTATTTTAAAATTGGTAACTAAACTGCAGTTGTTGCATTTTTGAATGTGCAGCAGAAATAAAGGGCCCTATGTGAATCTGCAATGGTTTGTAGTGGAGTTGGAGCTATTGAACGCGTGGGAACAGTGATCGTTCATGCGTTCTGCCTTAACCAAAAGCAGCAAAGATGGCTCAGGGGAACATCTGTTTATTTCGCATGGGAATTGTTTCGGATTTCGGGTTGATATTTTATTTCCTCAGGCTCTTTAACCAACCATGGGCACGGGTTCTCTGACCGCCGCTGCTGCGGGTCCCCTGCTGCCGTTCTACTGATGACTGTATTCGCTGATGCCTTTCCAACTGATGCCTGTTCCTGCCTGACGCTCCTGCTGCTGCCTGTTTCCTGCTGCTGTTCCTGCTGCCGTCTGCTGCTGCTGTCCCTGCTGCCTGCTCCATGTGCTTCTCTACTACACGTGCGCTTGCTTGGCTGTTCCTGCCCGCTTGCCGCTCCGCGGGCTCCCAGGGCAGCTGTCTCTACGGCTCGGCTCTTCAGACACGTATGTAACCTGGCTCACGGAGACAAGCGGCGCACGCTGGCGGACACGTTTGCTGTTCGTTGAATCGCATTGTGGTGCTACTGCTCCTGCTATTGCTGCTTTTGCTGCTTCATACTGCTAACGCTACTGCTGCTAATGGTGGCGCTAATGACTGCTATTGCTGCCGCTTGCTTGCTTCATACTGCTACTGCTGCCGTGCTGCTGTGCTTCTTGTTACTGGCACCTCTCTTCTCTTCGTGCATCTCTTTTACCTGAAACACTAAACAGCTTCAACATTTATCTACTGTGTGGCTTGATACAGGAATTTTTGCTGTTATATCTACGGATGCTGCAACCGCTGCTGCTGCTGCTTCATACTGCTCTGCTGCTCCGGCCTGCTTCTGCTGTTCTTGCTGCTAACCGTTTACTGCTGCTACTGCTGCAGCTGCGCTGCTTCATACTGCTAATGCTGCGTGCTGCTGCTGCTTCTTTTACTTTGGACTCCTCTCTTCACTTCGCATCTCTTTTACTGAAACACTAAACAGCTACAAACAAATATTCTACTGCTCTGGGCTTTGATACAGGTTTTATTGCTGTTATCTTAAAAAAAAACGGTGAAGCTGCATCAGCTGTGCTGCTACTGCTGCTGCTGCTTCATACTTGCTACTGCTGCTGCTTCATACTTGCTACTGCTGCTGCTTCATACTGCTACGCTGCTGCTGCACATACTGCTTACTGCTTACTGCTGCTGCTTCATACGGCTACTGACTGCTACTGCTTGCTGCTTCATTTACTTTGCCCAATCTCTCTTCACTGCATCTTCTTTTACTGAAACACTGAACAGCCTACAACAACATTTTTACCGCTGGTTGGCCTTAGATACAGAATTATTACTGTTATTTCTAAGGTACGCGCTTTGCCGCTGCTCGCTGCTGCTATGCTGCTGCCGCAACCACTCTCTCGGAAAGCTTTTCCTGCTTCTAAATGGATGCAGCCCGGCTGAGGTGTATGCCGCGCTGCGCTGGGACTCGCACCTATGCTCCCAGGGTTCGTCTTCGGGCGGTCGTGCTTCATCTCTATACTTATCTTTCTGATCCATCAGATGCAGGCGGGCCAATGTAGCTGCGCTGAGCCGTTCAATTGGACTCTAATCTAACGGATCCATAACTGTGTTCTTCACTCTTCTGGATAGCAGGCTCCCCTCACGCTCTTGCCCATCCTAAGGTCTCACTAATGCTCACTCAAACCTTCATGCCGGGTCCGAGACACGGCTTTCCCGGACCATTCTACTATCCTGGTTTATCTACTCTCCAACCCAAGATTCTCAAGCGTAAAGGGCGGGCCTGCAAACATCAATGGCCCTCTCCGACCATGTCTCTGCCCCTAAGGTCTCCGCTTCTACTCGGAAGCTGCCCCCTTCCGTGGGGTTTTGGCGGGGGGAATTCTTCCAGGGGACCATTTGGGTTGCCGAGCGTGGCCGCTACTTTTCCACCGGACATCTCCTCTGCCCATACAACGGAGATATTTCCCAGTGGTTGTGGCTTTGCGGCTGTGTGAATTCACACGTGCAGAGAAAGAGGATCCTTGTCATGTGTGATAATCTCGACCGTAGATTGGAAGCCAATTACACAAAGTCGCTCTTTTTCACCAAACATAATGTGGCTGATGTAGGCGGAGGAGTCGAAGAAGGACGAAGTCCGAAGAGGACCAGCGCACCCCAGCTGTTTTGAGAGGGGGGGGGGGGGGGGATGGTGTGGCGGTAAGAGCCCTGCGAGGCCCCCGCGCAGCGTTGGCAGCGCCTATCTGAAGGTGTGAGCTGATGTAGAGTGGGGAGACAATTTTACTGAGGTAGCAGTAGGGATTCTAGTCGAGCTCTGAAACCAGGTTGCTGTCATGGAAGATTGTCTGGAGTGAGAAAGAGGGGGTCCGTTAAAATCTCCTTTTTGCAGCGGAGGCGAGTGGAGTGTAACGCATCATGGATTTGTAGGGGCAGCAGTGAGGATGTGTTCCGGAAGCGAGCTGGGTTACTATATTGCAGGTCTTTGATCTTTGAATGTTGAGAACGGAGGTTGAAATGGTCAGGGACATTATGGTGGGTGAAAAAAGAGGCGGACTTTGTGTATTGTTAATGCTTCCACTACGTCGAGATTATCACACAGGACAGAGATCCTCTTTCTCTGCCACGTTGTGATTCACAGCGCGCTGCCACGACCATGGGAATATCTCGTGTTAGGGCGAGGGAGTATGCTCCGGTGGGGAAAGTAGCGGCCACGCTCGGCAACCAATGGTCTGGAAAGAATCCCCAAAACCCACGGAAGGGGCAGCGTGCCCGTGTTAGAAGCGGAGTAACTGTTGGGGCACGAGGACATGTCGGAAGAGGGCCATTGATGTTGCTGGCGCCCTTACGCTTTTGAATCTTGGGTGGGAGAGTAGATATTTACAGGATAGTAGCTTGGTCGGGGGGGAGAAAGCGTGGTTTTGTCTCGGACGCATGAAGGTTGGAGTGAAGCAGTAGTGAGGCCGCTTAGGTATGGGCAGGTGATGGGGAGCCTGCGATCAGAAGAGTTGAAGTAACAAGGTATGGATGCGTGATTATTCGGAGCCAATTGACGCTCAGCGCAGCTACTGGCCTGGCTGCATCTGATGGTTCATGAATGATTAAGTATTCGAGATGAAGCACGACCGCGAACAGCGGGACCCTGGGAGCCATTTAAAAATAAAAAGGTAGTTGCGAGGTCCTGCGCAGCGCGGCATACTCGCTGGGCTGCATCCATTAGAAGCAGGGAAAATGCTTCCAGATGAGAGAGTGGGGGTTGCTGGCAAGCAGCGTAGCAGCAGCCAGCAGCGGCGCAGCAGCTGTGGTCCTTTGGAAATAACAGTAATAATTTCTGTATCTAAGCCACGCGGGGTTTGTAAATTGTTGTTGATAGTGTTCAGTGTTTCAGTTAAAAGAGAGTGCAAGTGAAGAGAGAGATGCAAGTTGAAGAGAGAATGGCATAGTATGAGCAGCAGCGAGTAGCAGCTGTAGCCGTATGTAGCATAGCCAGCGAGTAGCAAGTTAGTAGCCAGTATGAAGCTGCTGCTGCGGTGTAGCAGTATGATGCAGCAGCTAGTTGCTGATTTGAACGCAGCAGCAGTAGCAGTATGAAGCCAAGCAGCTGCCAGTAGCTGCAGCAGCAGATGCAGCATCCGTAGATAACAGCAATATAAAACCTGTATCAAAGCCAGAGCGAGTAGAATTTTGTTGTAGCTGTTTAGTGTTTTCAGTAAAAGAGATGCGAACGTGAAGAGAGGTGTCAAAGTTAAAAGAAGCAGCAGCAGCTCGCAGCAGTTTAGCAGTATGAAGCCGCAGCGGCTGCAGTAGCAGCAGTAACGGTAGCCTGCATGAAGCGCAGAAGCAGCAGGGCAGGCAGTAGCAGTATGAAGCAGCAGCAGCAGCGGTTTTTTGCAGCATCCGTAGATATATAACAGCCAAAATCCTGTCTCAAGCCACAGCAGTTAGATTTTTGTTGAAGTGTTAGTGTTTCAGTAAAAGAGATGCGAAAGTGAAAGAGAGGTGCAAAGTAGAGAAGCGAGCGCAGCTCGCGGCAGCAGGAGCTGTATGAGAGCAGCAGCCCGGCCAGCAAATTGCAGCATTAGCGGCCACCAGTAGCGAGCAGTAGCGAGGTAGGCGAGTATGAAAGCAAGCAGGCAGAAGCAGCAATTGCAGGAGCAGTTAGCTCCACAATGCATTAATATAAGTCATAAAAAATCATTAAACATAGATGTAAAAGAATTGTTACTTTCACTCTTTTACTTTTTACATTTTCTTTGTGTCTCACTTCCGTCTCATCTTGCTGTAAGTTAAAGCTCTTCTTGGAACCTTGATAAGATCTAACCAAGCAGACAAGAAGCAGACATTTCAAAGCATTTCAAACAGACATTGCACAGGCTAAATCCGTTTGACCATCTTGATGCATGCGTCTGCTACATGCAAAGGCTGAGGTCAAAAGACATGCAAGCTTTTTTAAACATCCTGGTTTAGCGTCAAAACGCACAGAAGACAACACTCCACCAACATGAACAGCCTCTTTGCTGAACTCGAGGCTCAGACCAGAGTTATCACTATGAGAATCTTCACGTACTTTCTGCTCTCTGTCCTCTGTGAGTAACACACTTTTACTTTTATGTCCAACACTTCACAGCTTTTAGTGATCGTCTTTGTCATTTGCAGATGTCAGTGTTGGATCCACTTTGCAGAATAATGTATTGGAGGTTCATCAAGGAGAGACTGTTACTTTGTTGTGTTCAAACTTCTCCAAACACGAATCTCAAATGAATTGGTTTAAACTTGTGAGTGGAACTAAACCTCACTGCATTGTGTCAATTTTTGGTTGAACTTCTTGCCGGTTCTTACTGGTGATGGTTAATACCAGAGAGGGCAAGGCAGGTTTATTTGTATAGCACAATTCATATACAAGGAAACTCAAAGTGCTGAACAAAAGATAGCATTCAAATCACAAATAACTACAGTACATTAAAAAGAAAGATGAAAATATAAAATCCTCAGTTGTATGCACAGCTAAACAGAACTGTTTTTAACCTGGATTTAAACCATTCAGAGAAGAGGACAGTCTCACATTTTCAGGAAGATTGTTCCAGATTATGGGTTGCGCTTTCTGCAGCAGTCGTGGGATTGGACTGTGAGACTTTAAACACTGTACTGACTCACAGAGACTGAGACCAGGTGTCCCACTGACCATGTGGTCCCTGTCGTTCTGGCGGAGTCACTGCTCTGTGCATTGTCATAACACAATAACCCGGATCATAATTCATATCGGCACAAATGACGCTTCACTCCGCCGATCCGAGACCACAAAACGCCATTTTAAGGATCTTTTTAACCTTTTATCAAACTCAGGAAAAACTGTTTTTACCACTGACCACTCTGAACCGCGGCAGGGAGCGTTTTAGCAGGATTTTATCACTCAACACCTGGCTCAATCAAACATCACTCCATCACAACTTTGATTTTACAGTCAATTTTAATCTGTTCTGGAACCGCTACCCCTTCTTCACACCCGACGGACGTCACATCAACTCACTTGGCAACCGGTACCTGATCTCCAACATCACCCACGCAGTCCAATCCCATCCTACATACCTCTGACAACCCACCCCCACATCCCACATCCCTCCTGCCCGTCTGTGCCCCAGCATCAACCCCTGCTCTCTTCCCCAGCACAAAATTACAGTTTTGTCCAGACCCCGCCCCTACAGACCGTCCATACCCAGGAAACCGTCCTTCACCAACCTCATCACTGTTTCCCCCTGCCCTCTCTCATCCTCTGCTCCCCCCACTTCGAACTATGGACTCCCCATCAACAATAACAACCCATCTACCATCAGGTTTGCCCTTTTAAATGTACGCTCCCTTTTAAATAAGACTTTTACTGTTAATGATTTAATTTTAGAACACAAACTGGATGGTATTGTAAAAAATGACGTGTTCAAAATCCCATATAAAGATGACCAGTATTCGAAAAGTTAAATCCAAAAAGTTTATTCCCTGATACAAAGAGTCTAAACAGCGGTCTGGACTTAAAGCTAGCTCTCCCTCTCAAATCTATATATGAGTATAAAGTCAGGCGCTCTGACTTTATACTGCAGGTCCCTTGTCCAGACTAGTTCACAATTTCTACATAATACAGTTTTATAAATGTGCTGAAGATCAGGACTCGTCCCTCGAAGACGTCATGGGCTCCTTATCACCTCAGTCCCCGAGACAGGATTTTTGTCTCATGCGAAGCAGACACATCGTTCCTGAAAAGGTTACTTTTGCACAGAGACCAGCCTGTCCTTGAATTCTCACTGACCCCACTAACACATTTAAACAAAGGCCTATTATGCAGACTCTTACTGATAATATAAGAACATTTTATGGAGATACTTATAAGAACATTTACTGATCAATATAATTGTTAGTACATGTGATTACTGGTAATATACATTGTTATGGTGGTTATACTTTATTCACTCTTGTCTGTGTGTCAGCATGTGCATGTTATTCACATCAATGGTATGTTTTCAACTGAGACCTGGCTGGGTCCGGATGCTCCGGCTGTTCCTACAGAGGCTCCAGTGATGTTTTTTAACATAACTGGTTTTATTCAGCGTGAGACCTCTGTGAGAACCGTGAGGAAGCGACATCTAACCCCTGAAGTGGCTGCAAATTTTATCGACATCCTAAACAACACTCCCCACTTGGTTTTACCTGCCCCCTGTGATTTTAAAGCAAATGATTTTAACAGTAGACTTAGTTCCGCGTTGGATCAAGTCGCTCCTTTAAAAACAAAAATCATAAAAACAAAATCTGCACCCCCATGGAGAAATGAGGAAGTACGGAAAATGAAACAAGAGTGCAGGGTGGCAGAACAAAGATGGGGGAAAAACAAAACAACAATCAACTACGAAATATATAAAAACAATCAAAAAGTATACAATTACACAATTAGAAATCATAAGAACAAATACTTTGCAAAACTAATCACCCAAAATAAAAATCCTATTTTCAACCATTGACACCATTTTAAACCCTGATTTTAGCATATCTCTTTTAACCCCCACAGACTCCCTCTGTGAGGACTTTGCAGTCCACTTCACGGGGAAGATAAATACAATCAGATGTAGCATTTTATCCAACCGCACAACTGTTTTTAACTCATCTGATTGTTTGTCTTTGCCAGAGGAAACACTGGACAGTTTTTTCCTGGTTGATGCTGAGATGCTTGATAAAGTTTTCTCCTCAGTGAGGCCCATCACATGTCTTTTAGATCCAGTCCCCACCCCATTTTTTAAGTTATTTTATGAATCTTTTAGAGAGGAGCTTTTAAACCTGATGAACTGCTCTCTTCAGACTGGGGTCTTTCCTGCAGCCTTCAAAGCGGCTGTGGTGAGACCCCTTCTGAAGAAGAGCAATTTGGATTTTAATGATTTTAACAACTACAAACCAGTATCCAACTTACCATTTTTAAGCAACATTTTAGAAAAACTTGTTTTTACCCAGCTCAGTGCCTTTTTAGATCGGCAGAACATTTGAGAGAAATTTCAATCAGGTTTTAGGGTGAACCACAGCACAGAGACTGCTCTTTTAAAGATTTTAAATGATTTTAGACTAAGTTATGATTCTAAAAAGGTGACTGTGTTGGTTCTACTGGATCTAAGCGCCGCTTTTGATACAGTAGACCACACCATTCTTTTATCCCGCCTGAAACACCTTGGCCACTCTGGTGCTGTCCACAAATGGTTCACTTCTTATTTAACAGACCTTCATGGTAAGTTTGGATACCTGCTCCTCTCAGGTCCATAAAATCACATGTGGTGTGCCCCAGGGTTCCATTTTAGGTCCAGTCCTTTTTAACCTGTACATGCTCCCTCTGGGCGGTGTCATCAGGAGACATGGAATTAACTTTCACAGTTATGCAGATGATACACAGCTGTACATCTCCATGTCTCCTGATGATACACAGCTGTACATCTCCATGTCTCCTGATGATACACAGCTGTACATCTCCATGTCTCCTGATGACACCAGGCCAATGGATGCTCTTTTTAACTGCATTTTAGACCTGAAATCCTGGATGGCAGAAAACTTTCTCCAGCTCAACCAGGACAAAACTGAGGTTTTAGTCATCGGTCCTGAGGCCCAGAGAGAGAAACTTTTATCAAAATTCCAATCACACTCTTTTAATCCATCATCACAAGTGAGAAACCTGGGCGTAATCTTTGACTCTGAGCTGACTTTTATTCTTCACATTAAGAATATCACAAAAATAGGTTTTTATCGTTTAAAGAACATCGCCAGAGTCCGCCCCATTCTCTCTCGGGGCAACACGAAGACACTGATGCTTTTATCACCAGTCGCATTGACTACTATAATGTCTTCAATTACTCCAAAACTCGGCCGCACGTGTCCTGACTAAGACCAGGGGTCGGGACCACATTACACCGGTTTTAAAATCGCTGCATTGGCTCCCCGTGTGTTTCAGGATCGATTTTAAAGTTCTTTTAATGGTTTTACTTATTGTATTGTTATTGTATTGTTTTTAGTGTACCCAGTGTTTCCTCTGGAGGAGCCCTCTGCACTGGGAGCAGTGGCCGGTGTGGCTGCGGGGGTCGGACTCTTGGACCTGGTGGGGGTCTGGGGCCTCGGTTTCGTGTCTCCTCTGGGTCCTCTGTCGTCCCCTGTGGCTACGGGCGGCTCTCTGCTCCTGGTGCAGACGGCTCTTTGGATGACGCTTTTTCAGCTGGTTGCATCTGAACCCTGCCAAGTCTGTTGTGTGGTCGGGGGGAGGGGTCATGGGCCGGAGGGATTGTTTTTAACCAAACTGTAAAGCACTTTGTGTTGCATCTTTTGTATGAAAAGCGCTTTATAAATAAAATTTGATTGATTGATTGATTGATAACTGTCGGCCTGAGCGTGAAAATCCTCCGCCTCCAAAAAGGTAACGTTTTAAATATCGATTATGGATCAGAGAAACCCAGACTGTAAATTGTGTTTCTTTATTATGTTTTAGCAGCAGCCAAAGACCAAACGGTTGATACAGCAGAGGTAAGATTTTCTGTTTTGAAATCTAAAATACCATGTGTGAAAGTGAGGTGGAGGAGAATATGTTGTGTGTGTTGATCAGGGCTCTCTGGTGGCTGCTCGTGTGTTCATGGCCACGTCTCTGAGGAGCAGGCGTCCAAACACACCGGAGCACACACACGTCGTCTACACCGTCATCAAATAGAAGCACGTGGAAAATAAGAGCCAACGATTCATCAAGATTTAAGTTTCCGGATCACATTTAAGTTCTTTGCAAATACAAATGGGGAACAAGAAAGGAAAAAAAAACACCTGTTTTTGGTAGAAATGTTATTTTATTGTTCCAATTGAGACTTTTCATATTTTGCATCATTTATATTACTAATAAAATATACATAGAATACAGCTTAAGTCTGGCCATAGGAATAATTATATTAATAATAATAATCACAATACTAGATCTTATAGAGAGTGAGGGTAGCTGCAACAAAAGGCTTACTCAGCTGTCCTTGAGGTTCAGAAAGTCCTCAGGGTTCAGAAGGTCCTCAGGGTTCAGAAGGTCCTCAGGGTTCAGAAGGTCCTCAGGGTTCAGAAGACTCGGACAGGGAGCCAGTGAAGTGGTTTGAGGATGGGGGTGATGTGATTGGGGTAGGGGGTGTTGGGTCAGAGAGTGTTTGGGCCTGTGTGTATAGGCGACACACACCTGTACACCTTGTACCATTTATGTAATTGTGTTACTTTTCTACTTTTGTTTTTCAATAGTTTTTGAACCATTTTGATCGGTGTTGGGTTGGAAGTGTATTAGGGTCCGGTTCATCCAACCCCTTTTCAAAACATGTACGAAGGTCTGTCATTATGTTTGTGTTGTACATTTTCTGAAATAAACATTGTGATTGATTAAAAACATGTTTATTTGAAAAGATATGGCTTCACACAACTACACACAATAAATGGGGAAAGAATATTTTTTGCTGGATATATAAAATATGTCCAAATAATGATATCTACGTGCGTATGTATGTATATCCATGTGTGTGGTGTATGTGTATATGTATGTGTGTGTGCGTGTGTGTGTGTGTGTGTGTGTGTGTGTGTGTATGTGTGTGTGTGTGTGTATGTGTGTGTGTCATGTTTTCAACCATAAACACAAAGATTTGATTTTGAATTGTCTTACTAAAGTTTCACAAACAAGTAATAAACAACTGTTGCTTTGAGAAGTTTCCAATGATGCTGAAGGTTCACCATTAAATACTGTATAACTCTGTGTGTGAGGCCCCAGTGAGGTCAGGAAGGAGGTCCAAGGAGACACCAGAGAGGTCAGGAAGGAGGTCCAAGGAGACACCAGGGAAGTCAGAAAAGAGGTCCAAGGAGACACCAGAGAGGTCAGGAAGGAGGTCCAAGGAGACACCAGAGAGGTCAGGGTCAGGAAGGAGGTCCAAGGAGACACCAGAGAGGTCAGGAAGGAAGTCCAAGGAGACACCAGAGAGGTCAGAAGGAGGTCCAACTAGACACCAGAGAGGTCCCGGGTCAGGAAGGAGGTCCAGTGAGACACAAGAGAGGTCCGAGGTAAAGTAAAACAGGAAATGCAATAATAACAAACACAAAGATCCATTGGTCCAGAGGGAGCAGGATAAACACAGTCCACAAATGTGAATAGATTGTGTCCACAGTTCTGCTCGAGGTCGTAGTAGACGATGGCTGCTTTTATGACACTGCTTCTGTTTGACTGAACATGAGGCTGAGTTAGAGCTGCACAAAGACCCCAGCGTTCACTCAGACAGATGGAGCCTCATGTGGTTTACTCGAGTACAAGATGAAGTCTCTGGACAGTCTCGTATTGAAGCCCTGATGCTGTGTGGACCAAAGCAGGACGATACTGATGCATGTAGCAACTGGACTCTTCTTTCTCTTCTGTTTTGTCTCTCACTCCTCACAGAGATGGGGGAAATGTCGCAGGAGGCACATGCAAGACCTATTGTACATGACTTTAGTGGTCGGGAAAACCGTAGCACCCGGAGGTAACCTACGTAGACACGGGGGGAGAACCTGCAAACTCCAGACATAGTACAGATTCTGGTCTCTCTCATGGACATTACATGGAACTATATCTCGATACACAACTGTTGTCAGGTCTGTGCCATGTTGCTGAGACCACATTGGACTTCCTGTTTAACCACATTTATCTGTCTCTGAGAGAATAGAAAGTAGACGCTGACAGAGTGGAACAAAGTAATAAAGTGATAAAGTAAAATGCCCATTTCAAACTATTTTGTGATTGGATTTTGTCCATGGCATTAATATAAGTCATAAAACATCATTAAAGATAGATTTAAAAGACTAGACCAATCGTTACAAGGTTAAACAATGACACAGATGTTTTTTTGTTCATTTTGGCTTTAAACTTTCTTTGGTTTTTCATATTTCTGTGATAATAAATATAAGGATTTACTTGTAGAATGGAAGAGACATGATCAGAATGAGCAGAACACTCCCATCCAGTGGTAGAAGTGGGAAACTACATCTTGTTGGAATATTCTAATATCCAACCATCTTATTCAAAGCATTTAGTTCTAAACAAAGAGATTTGACCGATTCCCAAAAGTAATTTAGAATCAATATGTTTGTTTTGAAGGTGACGCCAACAACTTAAGGACCATAAAGGAGGTTGGAGGCATGATACAGACAATCCTCTTCATGTTGTTCTGTATCTTTGTAAAAACCTCATCATTCTTCTGTTGAACATGTTCCAGGTCATAGTCAAGAACTCGTCTTAGCGGGTTTGAAAAAAACGTGATTGTGACTGATATTTTCATGGATAAAGCTTTAACTTTTTGGGTGAGGAAGCACAGTTTTGGATTATCTGTGTTGTTTAAAGGAAAGTCCTTCATGATTCAGGAGTTTCTCTAAAGAACAAAGTTAAAAGCTAATTTTCCTTGATGTGATATGTGTTTATGAATATTTATCGAAATGAATTTTACCATTGTGGGATCAATAAAGTAAATATTCTTCTTCTTTTTCTTTAATTGTGAGACCAGTAGCATTAGGGGATGGCATGAAAGACAGACTGATGCTCCTCCCATTGTCTTAGAGATAAAAAGCCAAAGCAGAGTATTAGAGGCTCAGACCAGAGTCATCACTATGAAGACCTTCAGGCTCCTTCTGCTCTCTGTTCTCTGTGAGTAACATACACTTTAGCTTTTATCTCCAACTCTTCACAGCTTTTAGTGACGTCTTTGTCATTTACAGATGTCAGTACTCAATACACTTTGCAGAAAAATCAATTGGAGGTTCATCAAGGAGAGAATGTGACTTTGTCTTGTTCAAACTACTCTAAAGATGCATCTAAAGTGGATTGGATTCATCTGGGGGCTGGATATAAACCTTGCAGCATTGCATCAGTTTTTGGATCTGACGGTGAACCTTCAGTTTGTGATAGACTTAAAGACGGGAGATTTCACATCAGCTCCAATAAAACTGATGTGTTTCTGAGAATCCAAGAAGTAAAGCTCTCTGACTCCGGTCGGTACAGCTGTATATTCTATGAATCCTGGAGTCTAAACATAACCCATGAAGAGACGATATGGCTAAATGTTTTCAGTAAGTAACGCAATAATAAGAAACACATGGAGCCATTGGTCCTATGTGTTAAAAGTTGGATCACAAACTTTTTAAATTGAAATAAATCAAAATACTAAAGTGTACTTGACCTTCATCAACCAACGCAGATTCAACCAACGCAGATTCAACCAACGCAGATTCAACCAACCAAAAAGGAAAGTGTCAAACTGGAGGTGAGGATTCTCATGGTCATGTTTTTCCACCAACCCTACTTTACTCTTCTTTACTCTACTTTACTCTACTTTACTCTACTTTACTCAGCTCTACTGTCGCCTGATTAAGAGCGCTTCCCCGGCTCTACTTTACTGGTACCAGGTACATTTTTGGTACATGCTTGGCCCGGGTTTAATCCAGTCTGGGCGGGTCCTGGCTCAAAAAGGTTCTTGAGTGCGTGCTCTGAAATGCCTGCAATATGACTCCGGGCCGGTGATGTTGTACCCAGAAAACATCTTTAAGGGATGGTCCAAATCTCGCTCTTGGTCCAAAAGTGGCTCTTGATCCAAAAGTGGCTCTTGGTCCAAAAGACCTGATAAGATACACCAAGCAGACAAGAGAGCAGGACTTTTCAAAGCTTTTTAAACAGACAGTTTGACAATCTTGATGCGCGTCTGCCACTGAGGGTCAAAAGACATGCAAGCTTTTTTTTTAACATCCTGGTTTAGTGTCACAAAACGTAGGCCTGTTTTGCTGAACTCGAGGCTCCAGCCAGAGATCACTGAGGATCTACGTACTTGTTGTGGAGTAACACCCACTTTTGCTTTTATGTCCAACACTTCACAGCTTTTAGTGAATTGTCTTTTTCATTGCAGATGTCAGTGTTCGATCCACTTTGCGGCATATGTATTGTAGGTTCATCATGCACGAGACTGTTACTTTGTTGTGTTCAAACAAGTGGAATTTGGTTTAAACTTGAGAATGGATCTAACCTCGCTGCATTGTGTCAATTTTTTGATCTGACAGAAATCCGAATGGATTAAAGACGGGAGGTTTTCACATGAGCTCCATAAAACAGAGGTGTTTCTGAGAATCCAAGAAGTTAAGCTCTCTGACTCCGGTCTGTTACAGCTGTAGATTCTACATTAAGTTCCACTCAGTTCTTGAGAACATGATGTACCTCAAAGTGTGACCAGTGAGTAGACTTGGTTTGGAGAAAGATGTGTAGTTCAGCAGCAGACACAAACCAAGCTGAGTGTCTGGTTATGTCGATAAAAGCAAATATGTAGCTACAGCAGACGATTGTAGACGATCGAAGGTGAGGATCGTTGCGGTCAGCAACAACACGGGTGAGCCTCATCTTCTGTGAAACACTGCTGTGCTTGGTGTCACTTTGGTGTCACCACATAACTGCATGTTTCCCACCACATCTCAGATTTGTAATTGCACAAGGCTTTTCTGATCAACATTGAACCTCTTGACACGATTAGCAAACCACAAAGTATCATTGATGACTAGTGGCAGTTCCAGAAAGGCCCGGAGTGGCTCCAGGTTTTAGTTCCAACCTGAGTAGGACAGTCCTGATCCATATATTCATTCAAAGTTACCCTCCTTATTTGGGGATCAGAAAGAGTGTAGTAAAAAGTTAAATGTTGTGTGAACACATCAGGCATACTGTGGTCTTCATCTCAGTGGAATATTTTATCTTTTGTAAATTTGTACAAAAGACAAAACTCTCAAGAACAAGCCATACGTACATAAAAACTATTGTAGGAACCAAACAAGGAACGATTGAATTGGATTATAGTCCAATTTTCTGGGGGGGGGGGGGGGACTTTGAAAGTTAGATCCCGAGAGAGAGAGAGAGAGAGAGAGAGAGACCAGAGGCTGTTGATTGGAAGCAATAGAATTCAGATCCTTGATAGACAGCTGAGGCCCCTCCCCCCATTAAAAGCATTAAAATCACAAATATTCACATTATATTAAAAAGACATTTAAAAATATAAAATCCTCAGTTGTATGCACAGCTAAACAGAACTGTCTTTAACCTGGATTTAAACATAGTCAGAGAAGAGGCCTGTCTCACATCTTCAGGAAAATTGTTCCAGATTATGGGTTGCGTTTGCTGCAGCTGTCGTGGGATTGGACTGTGAGACTTTAACACTGTACTGACTGCTCTCTGCCTCACAGAGACTGAGACAGGTGTCCCACTGACCATGTGGTCCCTGTCGTTCTGGGCGGAGTCACTGCTCTGTGTATTGTCATAACTGTCGGCGCCTGAGCGTGACAATCCGCCGCCTCCAAAAAGGTAACGTTTTAAATATCGATTATGGATCAGAGAAAATCCAGACTGTAAAGTGTGTTTCTTTAGTTATGTTTTAGCAGCAGCCAAAGACCAAACGGTTGATACAGCAGAGGTAAGATTTTCTGTTTTGAAATCTAAAATACCATGTGTGAAAGTGAGGAGGAGGTGAATATGTTGTGTGTGTTGATCAGGGCTCTCTGGTGGCTGCTCGTGTGTTCATGGCCACGTCTCTGAGGAAGCAGGCGTCCAAACACACCGGAGCACACACACGTCGTCTACACCGTCATCAAATAGAAGCACGTGGAAAATAAGAGCCAACGATTCATCAAGACTTAAGTTTCCGGATCACATTTAACAAAACCGCAAAGACTGCAATGATTTAAGTTCTTTTCAAATACAATATGGGAAACAAGAAAGGCCAAAGAACACTTGGATTTGGAATAAATCTTCCTTATATTTATTTGTATTGGGAAGTATACTGTTTTTGGTAGAAATGTTATTTTCTTGTTCCAATTGAGACTTAAAATTTCATCATTTACATTACCTATTAAAATTTAGTTTTTTCAAATTGTCTGAAATTTTGCACATAATTCTGTTTTGTCATCTGGATTCAAAAAGTCAATGACAACATATGATTATTTTTTACCCTGTTGCCGTGGCGACGACAAACACTCCCCTGTCTGTGTTTATGGGTAAATCGTTAAATCTCTGAAAAGTTTCACTAATTTGTCTGAAAATCGCTCCACATGGTCTCAACACATGGACCATCAATAGTTGAATATAGAATTTGAATTAGTCAAATGGTCTGCGCGTGACAAACTCCCAAACTGTGGTTATTTTCATAGAGAGGTGTGAAGTTCATGTTATCCAATGGAGACTGTATGGACACACTCAAAGATTGTATGAACAAACAGGAGCACATTTAAAAACTCTGATATTCACTAAACTTGACTCGGTTGTTCAACTCCTGGGCCTAGGTGGAACAATGAAATTGGCCCATTAGCGCCCTATTGTTTTTTTTTTTTTTGGGCCATTGTTTTTTTTTTTGTAACTTTTTTTAATTGTTTTTATTATTTTTTTTATGTTTTTTTTTTTATTATTGTTTTTTTTTTTGGCTTGTTTTTTGTTTTATTTTTTTTTTTTTTTTTTTTTTTGGGGTGTGGGGTGGGTGTGTGGGTTGTTGGGTTGGTTGGTGGTTGTGTGTTTGGGTGATGTTGTGTTTGTTGTTGTTGGGTTAGGTTTTAAGTTGTGGTGGTGTTTTTGGTGGTTTTGTGGGTGGTTTTGTGGTGTTGTTTTTTTGTTTTGGGTTCAACCTGATTTGGTGGTGCTGTTTGTGTTTTGTTTTTTGTTTGGTTTTTTTTTTTTTATGTTTAATTGTGTTTGTTTTTTGTGGGGTTTTTTGGTTTTATTTTTTTTTTTTTTTTTTTTTTTTTTGTATTTTTTTCTTGTTTTTTTTTTTTTTTTTTAATTTTTTTTTATTGTTTTATTTTGTTTTTTTTTTTTTGTTTTTTTTCTTTTTTTTTTTTTTTTAATTTTCTTTTGTTAAAAATTGTTTTTATTTTTTTTTTTTTTGTCTTTTTTTTTTTGTTTTTTGTGGGAGGGGTGTGTTGGTTGTTTGGTGATGTGGTGTTTTTTGTTTGTTTGTGGGGGGGGGGGTAATTGTGTTTGGGTGGGTGTTCATTTTTGGGTTTTTGGTTTTTTTTGTTTTAAAAATTTGTGTTTTTGTTTCAACAGCCGAGTAAAGGTTTACATGGGGATACAGGTATTTAGGTTTTCTGTTGTTTGATCTCATATTTGACCCACTGCACAAACACAAAATCTCTAAAAACTTTGCCTCAAGTTTTTCTCAGGCATAAAGTGTATTATTTTGGTGTTCTTTGGTGTAATACAATTGTAGGGGGCGCTGTTATACAACAAATGCCTTCCATTTGCACCTACAAAGTCCGATTTGCACAAAATTTGAATTTATTGTTCAACTCTGGTTTGAACTGATAGTGTAAAACATGAAATTGCTTCATTAGCGCCCCCTACAGGCTGAGTAAACGTTTTACACGGGGCTGCAGGTATTAAGTCTGTTGTATCTCATATTTGAGACCACTTAACACATAAAAACTGACAGTTTTGTTCTTGCAAAAAATGTATTATTTGAGTTCTTTTGTATAAGACTAAACTTCGAAATTACAGGGGGCGCCATTGTGCAAAGTAAATGCCAGTTTGCACATACAAAGTCCAATTTGCACAACATTTAAATTGATTGTTTTACTCTCTCCGCTACAGTTGAGCTGTCTATAAAGGAGCAAAAAATGATCGGAAAAAAGGTTTTTAAATTAATGGAGCACATGTTTCACATCACATTGTCCTGGGATTTAACCCTCTAAAATCTAGGGCCATTTTGGGGAACTTTCCTCGCCTGGTTTTCTTTGTGTATTGCTCATAAAACAGTCATCTTGTGATGCAGAGTCAAATATTATACTTTTTTTTCAGTACAACCTGGGCATCCATCTTACCATATCATATTTAATGTCTCCTCTTGATGCAAACAAAAGAACTGTGGAAAAGCCTGTACAACCTGGTGTGGAGTGTGCTTGAAGGAGAATTCCATTAATGTAACATAAAAATCATTATCCTAAAATTGTGTCTTGAGGTGTGTGGTGAGGACAGACACCAGTTTGGGACCACTCCATACACATGATACACCCACAGGACCAAGGCCACATCTCAGACAGGATTCCTCTTCACTTCCTTCATCACTTCATCTGTTTGGGACATCCCAACTTCTACATCTATGCATTGATGGCATGTCTAATGATAAAATATACCTCATGTTATGTTTTACAATTTCTTTAAAGCTATAAATAGTTTACTGGGGTATTATGAAGTTTGACCACATTTCATACTTTCAAAGCATTGAAAGTATGAAATCTGGTCAATATTTTTCACTTTCATTGTGACATACAAATAGATTCAACACAATGTGTCTGGTTCTAAAATGATTGTGTTATGAGGTATATTTGTAATTCAAGACTAACCAAAAATGCATGCATTATCACCAACATTATCTGCTGGAACAGGTGAGAAAAATAAAACAATGATTATAATTAAACAACTTATTAATGCATTACAAATATAATCACAAGAAATCTGAATTGTTAAGTCAGAAGGATTTATTGAGTATTTAGAAGTCAGTTGGTCAACAGCTTTTAGAATCAACATCAAGTTTAAAATGTTCATGGACATTTTATTCTTTTAGAGTAAAAGTCAAAACATTTTCAATGCTTTTGCCCAATACTGGAAATCACAGGTCCTGGTGCCCTGGGGAAGAAACAAAACAAAAGAGATAGTTAGTAAACATTATTCAACTCCATCCATCCATCCATTTTCTACCCTTTAATCCATTTCTGGGTCAGGGGGGTGGCAGTCAGAGATGCCACCCAAGTCTCATAGCACCAGCCCCTCACTGACCCTCTGCAGGTGGTGAGTCCACAGGAGGACGGCTGCTCTCTGAGTGTGAGCATAGCCTTGATCTTTCAGTGGGGGCTTTGGGCAAAGTGGGGTTAAGTGTCTTGCCCAAGGACACAACGACAGCAGTCATCAGTGGGAGTCGGTGGAGAAGGTGCAGAGGTGGGAAATGAACCCACAACCTTCTGGCCTTAAGGCCAATGCTCTACCAACTGAGCTACTGTCGCCCACATTATTCAACTGTAATATGTAATTCTATTAGAGATGGTGATCTGCTCTTTGTTTGCCTTCTCTCCAGATAACCTACCAAGACCCGGCCGTCCCTCCAAATTTTCATCTCAAACAATGAGAAGACTGAACAGAGATTCAGCCAAGAGGCCCATGATCACTCTGGATGAATTGCAGATAACTACAGCTGAGGTGGGGATGGTGTGTTCAGGGGGATGAGCTGTGTTGCTTTTACGCCAAACATATCGTTTTGCATTGTGGCCAAAAAGTTTGATTTTGGTTTCATCTGACCAGAGCACCTTCTTCCACATGTTTGGTGTGTCTCCCAGGTGGCTTGTGGCAAACTTTAAACGAGACTTTTTATGGATATCTTTGAGAAATGGCCACTCTTCCATAAAGGCCAGATTTGTGTAGTGCACGACTGATTGTTGTCCTATGGACAGACTAAAGTTAATGTCTATCAAAAGTATCGAGGTAGGTCAAATAAAAGTGCACTTTAAGTATAAATCAAAACAGTCAAACTTTCATACAAAGTTGAAACGTATTCAAATATCAAGGGAAGGGTTGTTGCGCAACAGGTAAGGGTTTCAAGATAACTAACTCAAAAGGCTACTGCCGCTTGGGCGAATAGTGCAAAAGTTCTAAAAAGTGGGTCTAAACAGCCGAATAAATAAAACGGGGCACATTAGTGATATAATGAGGCCTTGGCAAAAGGTTCGACTGAAGACATAAAGAAAATAAAGCGGAATATTAACTTATTGAGCCGCTTGTGGGTCGGGCTGACCACAGTTGTGTATGTGCTAGCGCAGGGGTCGGGAACCCAAAATGTTCAAAGAGCCATAATTGACAAAAAAACTAAAAACAACATCCGTCTGGAGCCCCAAAAAAATAACAGCCTTGTATAAGGCTTTTATGAAGTTAACACAGGCTGCAAGATGTATTAGCTATATTAGCCTAATATCTAAATGACAAAGTAAAGGCTACAAATACATAATAATCATTCATGATTATCAAATGTGTGTTTTCACTGCAGCGTGTAGTGAATGACGCAACACGTGACGACTCTGCTTTAGTTTAACTTCCATTTTTTTGCCTTCATGCAATTGTAGAAATACAGTAAATAAATCTGCTTTGGGCTCAGAGGTCACATGCATCACTGTCTGCTCATATCCATCACGTCACAGGCTGAAGTTTGCTGGAGCTGAATTAAAATCCTTAATGGCCTTTTCTTTCACAGTCTTTGAGAAGGTTTTGAAGTCTGAAAATAGGTGCTCTGAATTTTTGATGAATCCTTCACGTAATCACCGTTTACGTCGTTTTGCGCTAGAAATAAAATATTGCCCTCACACTCCATTTTCAGACATGTTTGAAAAGGCTCCAGGAGCCACTCCAGCAGCACTCAAGAGCCGCATGCGGCTCCGGAGCCGCGGGTTGCCGACCCCTGATCTATGTAAAGACACGGTATGTTTTAGCACAGCTTATAAGAACCATAACATCTCCTCTTCAAGAACAGAACGCAGACAACAGGCTTAATCTGTGCTCGAAAACATTTATTACTACCATTTATTCAACCATCAAAGAAAATCTCTGTCAAAATCAGCAGGTGGAGTGAGGTCTGCTTGAGTCTCCGCCCTCCGCAGACTCTCCTTCGCCTGGTTCTGATCCACTGAAGCTTCTCTGGCCGTGAATTTTCCTGTGTTTGTTTGCTTCACTTCTGGTTCTGAAGGACTTCTCACAGACGCCACATGGATGAGGTCTTTCTCCAGTGTGGAAGAGTTTGTGGGTCTTAAGTCTGTCTCTCCGAATGAAGGACTTCGAACAGGTGTCACAGGGAAAAGGTCTCTCTTCAGTGTGGAGGAGTTTGTGTCTCTGAAGATCATGGTTCTGTTTGAAGGACTTTGGGCAGGCGTCGCAGGGAAAAGGTCTTTCTCCAGTGTGGAAGAGTTTGTGGGTCTTAAGTCTGTCTCTCCGAATGAAGGACTTCGAACAGGTGTCACAGGGAAAAGGTCTCTCTTCAGTGTGGAGGAATTTGTGTCTCTGAAGATCACGGTTCCGTTTGAAGGACTTTGGGCAGGCGTCGCAGGGAAAAGGTCTCTCTTCAGTGTGGACACGTTGGTGCCTTGTGAGATGCCACATGCTTTGCAAAGGTTTCCCACAGACTTCACAGAGGTACATCCTCTCTGCACGCTGCCTTTCTCTGTCGCTTCTGCCTCTGTCAGATGTTGAGTCCGTTGTTGATCCAGGTCCTTCAGGTTCAGAGTTTGGAGCATCCTGCTGGAGAATTGTGTCCGTCGCTTGAACACAGTCTGCTCCGGGTTCCTCTTTGATCTTCACCAAAGACTTGTTCTGTTCCTCGTCGTCACTGGGTCTGAGCACAAACTCCTGCTCTTGTGTTGAATGAGGAGCTACAGGTTCAACTGCATCTGTAGAGAGAGAAGTGTTCACAAGACTGGACTGGAAGGACATCAGTAAAGATGGGTACAAGAAGAACTTAAGAACTCTACATGACCATAGCCAGTTCAATATTCCTCTAATGGAGATGATTTTAACCCAGAGTCTGATGTGCTAAGTTACGATAAGTTACAATAAGTCAATTGCATAGTTTTCCTACAGTTTGTCAGATCTAGAATAGCTTTTGTGTTGTGTATAGAAGAGGACCACACCTGAAGCTGGACTCAGAGGCTCCTGTCTTCCTCCCTGTGGCTCCAGTCCCTGCAGATACCACTCCACCAGATCCACAATGCACTGTTCCGCTGTGGTCAAAGCCTCCTGCAGATGTGACCTCAGCCGCTGCAGCAGTGGCTCCTTCACAGACTCCATTGTTGAAAATATGAGGAGATATGTACTCTCTCTCTGGTCTCACGCCCAATTCCTCTGGTCTCTCTCTGATGCCTCTGGTCTCTCTCTGATACCTCTGGTCTCTCTCTGATACCTCTGGTCTCTCTCTGATTCCTCTGGTCTCTCTCTGATTCCTCTGGTCTCTCTCTGATTCCTCTGGTCTCTCTCTGATTCCTCTGGTCTCTCTCTGATTCCCCTGGTCTCTCTCTGATTCCCTTGGTCTCTCTCTGATACCTCTGGTCTCTCTCTAATTCCCTTGGTCTCTCTCTGATACCTCTGGTCTCTCTCTGATTCCTCTGGTCTCTCTCTGATTCCTCTGGTCTCTCTCTGATTCCCCTGGTCTCTCTCTGATTCCTCTGGTCTCTCTCTGATTCCTCTGGTCTCTCTCTGATACCTCTGGTCTCTCTCTAATGCCTCTGGTCTCTCTCTGATACCTCTGGTCTCTCTCTGATTCCTCAGGTCTCTCTCTGATTCATCTGGTCTCTCTCTAGTCTCTGCCAAAGCCAAGTGGGGATCTTTTGAAAGTATACAGTTTTTGAGAGTCAACACTTTGAGGATCTCAGTGAATCATGTTGCCGTGGCTACTGTGATTGAAGAAGAGAAGTCAATCAGAAGATGAATGAGATTACATTGAGGTTTAATGGTGTTTCATGTTATTCAACAATAATTTATATGTAAGAATATCATGGCATGCTTACAGCTTCCGCCGTCTTGGAAGTAATTAAATTCAATTCAATTTATTCTTGTATAGCCCTAAATCACAACAGCATCATCTCAGAGACTTAACAAAACCATTGAAATCACCAACACAGGTCAAAAATATAGACCACATGGTATTGGCTGGTTTTTCTCTGTTCTCTAGGGTCTCTGTTCTCTCTCTCTAGTCTCTCTCTGGTTTCTCTCTGTTCTCTCTCTCTAGTCTGGTCTCTCTATGGTCTCTCTCTGTTCTCTCTCTCTAGTCTCTCTCTGGTTTCTCTCTGTTCTCTCTCTCTCTAGTCTCTCTCTGGTTTCTCTCTGTTCTCTCTCTCTCTAGGGTCTCTCTGGTTTCTCTCTGTTCTCTAGGGTCTCTGTTCTCTCTCTCTAGTCTGGTCTCTCTATGGTCTCTCTCTAGTCTTTCTCTCTGGTCTCTCTCTCTGGGGTCTCTGTAGTCTCTCGCTGCATGGTCCCTCTCTGGCCTCTCTAGTCTCTCTTTGGTCTCTCTCTCTAGTCTCTCTCTGGCCTCTCTAGTCTCTCTATGGTCTCTCTCTCTAGTCTCTCTGTGGCCTCTCTAGTCTCTTTTTGGTCTCTCTCTCTAGTCTCTCTCTGCCTCTCTTGTCTCTCTGTGGTCTCTCTCTCTAGTCTCTGTGGTTTCTCTAGTCTCTCTGTGGTCTCTCTCTCTAGTCTCTGTGGCCTCTCTAGTCTCTCTTTGGTCTCTCTCTCTAGTCTCTCTCTGGCCTCTCTAGTCTCTCTGTGGTCTCTCTCTCTAGTCTCTCTCTGGCCTCTCTAGTCTCTCTGTGGTCTCTCTCTAGTCTCTGTGGCCTCTCTAGTCTCTCTGTGGTCTCTCTCTCTAGTCTTTGTGGCCTCTCTAGTCTCTCTGTGGTCTCTCTCTAGTCTCTGTGGCCTCTCTAGTCTCTCTCTGGCCTCTCTTGTCTCTCTCTGGCCTCTCTAGTTTCTCTGTGGTCTCTCTCTCTAGTCTCTGTGGCCTCTCTAGTCTCTCTCTGGCCTCTCTTGTCTCTCTGTAGTCTATCTCTCTAGTCTCTCTCTGGCCTTAGTCTCGCAGGCCTCTCTAGTCTCGCTCTGGTCTTTCTCTTCAGACTAGTCTCTCAATAGAGTAGAGGAGAGGAGAGAAGAGGAGGGGATGGGGATGGGGAGGAGAGGAGAGACTGATGTTCTTTCTCAATGTGGGGCTCCCAGAGGTTTCTCACTTTTTCCCACCGAGTTTTTTGTTAGAGTTGGTCCTCGCTGATGCAGCAGGGTCTAAGGTCAGTGGTGATGATCCAGGACACTCCACATTCAACCACATTTATACACATTGGTCTCTGCCCTGAATGCACCAAGTGTTTTCTATCATTGCATTTTCTGTGTTTTGAACCTTTCAACATTTCGTCACATTTCAGGCTTCAAACATAAAGATATAAACATATTTTTTTTTCTCAAGAATCAACAACAAGTGGGACACAATCGTGAAGTGGAACGAAATTTATTGAATAATTTAAACTTTTTTAACAAATAAAAAACTGAAACGGCCCCTTGCGCTAATACTTTTTAGCGCCACCTTTTGCTGCAATTACAGCTGCAAGTCGCTTGGGGTACGTCTCTATCAGTTTTGCACATCGAGAGACTGGAATTCTTTCCCATTCTTCCTTGCAAAACAGCTCGAGCTCAGTGAGGTTGGATGGAGATCGTTTGTGAACAGCAGTCTTCAGCTCTTTCCACAGATTCTCGATTGGATTCAGGTCTGGACTTTGACTTGGCCATTCTAACACCTGGATACGTCTATTTGTGAACCATTCCATTGTAGATTTGGCTTTATGTTTTGGATCATTGTCCTGTTGGAAGATAAATCTCCATCCCAGTCTCAGGTCTTTTGCAGACTCCAACAGGTTTTCTTCCAGAATGGTCCTGTATTTGGCTCCATCCATCTTCCCATCAATTTTAGCCATCTTCCCTGTCCCTGCTGAAGAAAAGCCAAACATATCGTTTTGTATTGTGGCCAAAAAGTTCGATTTTGGTTTCATCTGACAGAGCACCTTCTTCCACATGTTTGGTGTGTCTCCCAGGTGGCTTGTGGCAAACTTTAAACCAGACTTTTTATGGATATCTTTGAGAAATGGCTTTCTTCTTGCCACTCTTCCATAAAGGCCAGATTTGTGCAGTGCACGACTGATTGTTGTCCTATGGACAGACTCTCCCACCTCAGCTGTAGTTATCTGCAGTTCATCCAGAGTGATCATGGGCCTCTTGGCTGCATCTCTGATCAGTCGTCTCCTTGTTTGAGATTAAAGTTTGGAGGGACGGCCGGGTCTTGGTAGATTTTCAGTGGTCTGATACTCCTTCCATTTCAATATAATTGCCTGCACAGTGCTCCTTGAGATGTTTAAAGCTTGGGAAATCTTTTTGTATCCAAATCCGGCTTTAAACTTCTCCACAACAGTATCTCGGACCTGCCTGGTGTGTTCCTTTGTCTTCATGGTTCTCTCTGTGCTTTAAACAGAACCCTGAGACTATCAAAGAGCAGGTGCATTTATACGGAGACTTGATTACACACAGGTGCATTCTATTTATCATCATCAGTCATTTAGGACAACATTGGATCATTCAAAGATCCTCACTGAACTTCTGGACTGAGTTTGCTGCACTGAAAGTAAAGGGGCCGAATAATATTGCACGCCCCACTTTTCAGTTTTTTATTGGTTAAAAAAGTTTAAATTATCCAATAAATTTCGTTCCACTTCACGATTGTGTCCCACTTGTTGTTGATTCATGGCAAAAAATTAAAATGTTATATCTTTTAGTTTGAAGCCTGAAATGTGGTGAAAGGTTCAAGGGGGCCGAATACTTTCGCAAGGCACTGTAACTACTGTTGCATTTTAGGGCCATTTAATTCTTCTTTAGTACCAGCTTGGCCCTGGTTCCATACAGTAAGCTTGATTCCCTTTTGAGGAAAAGCTTGACTTATTTAGAATGAAAATGTGGCTGCAGTGCTGTGAGGACACCACTAGAGAACGCCACTGTGTAAGGCATTTACTGCACCTTTTTGAGAGATTATTGAGAATCTACTTAAAGCTGCAACAGTAATCTGTAATCAAATACATGTCACTAGTTCCTCGCTATTTGATTCTTTGAAAGTTTGATTCTATTGTCTACTTGTTTTCACCTGGCGTGTATTTTTGGTAGAAACCACGGAGAGAGACCAGAGAGATCAGAGAGAGACTAGAGAAAGACCAGAGAGAGACCAGAGAGAGACCAGAGAGAGAGACCAGAGAGAGACCAGAGAGAGAACAGGGAGAGACCAAGGAGAGACCAGGGAGAGACCCGAGAGAGACCCGAGAGAGACCCGAGAGAGACCCGAGAGAGACCCGAGAGAGACCCGAGAGAGACCCGAGAGAGACCAGAGAGAGACCAGAGAGAGACCAGAGAGAGACCAGGGAGAGACCAAGGAGAGACCAGGGAGAGACCCGAGAGAGACCCGAGAGAGACCCGAGAGAGACCAGGGAGAGACCAGGGAGAGACCAGGGAGAGACCAGAGAGAGACCAGGGAGAGACCAGGGAGAGACCAGAGGGAGACCAGAGAGAGACCAGAGAGAGACCAGAGAGAGACCAGAGAGAGACCAGAGAGAGACCAGAGAGAGACCAGAGAGAGACCAGGGAGAGACCAGAGGGAGACCAGAGAGAGACCAGAGAGAGACCAGAGAGAGTTCAGGGTGATGGGTGAAGTCTGTATCTGAGTGGCGTCAGATGCAAATGAATCCAAGGCTAAACCAAGGCTAAAGAGAGGTTCATTAACGTAAATGAAACCAAACGAACAATAAATAAAACAATAATCGAGTTCTCTCTTTTCCGCAGACATCCAGGAGTATTACGAGCTGAGCGTTCAGGCCGACGCCCACGATGTACCGACCTCTGAACTCACCAAACTCCAAATCTGCCCGGAGTCTTCCTCAAGTGGACCCTCGCCCTCTGCCCCGCTCTGAACCACCACCGAGAACCACCAGAGCCCCCACGTACCCTCACAGTCTCCACCCAGAGAGACCCTCAGCAAACCCCTCATCTCCCCCAAACCCAAGTCCTTCAAGTCCCCCCCGCCCCCCCAGCAGCCCGCCACCCTGCCCTCCACGTCACCGCTTCAGCCGCCATCCAGCAAGAAATACCGCGCACCGCTGCCCCCAATGGCAAGACCGGGTTCCTGCGGCGACCGGAGGAGACCGGGCCTCACACAACGGCTTCAACCTGTCCGACCCTCAGTCAGAGTACGCCACCATCGCGCCTCAGCCCGTGGTGACGCCTGGGGAGCACGCCACCGTCTCGGCACTGGTCTCGGGCACCTGTTGCCGCACCTGCCCTGCCTGCCCCGAGCCAAGCAGAGAAGGGCCAGGATGTTTCAGTGTCCTCAGAGCACAGAGGGAGCAGTTCGACCAGAGACTGGGCCGAGTTCAGAGGTCCCAGCAGTCCCAGCAGAGACCAGAGAGAGACCAGAGAGAGACCAGAGAGAGACCAGAGAGAGAGACCAGAGAGAGAGACCAGAGAGAGAGACCAGAGAGAGACCAGAGAGAGACCAGAGAGAGACCAGAGAGAGACCAGAGAGAGACCAGAGAGAGAGACCAGAGAGAGACCAGAGAGAGACCAGAGAGAGACTAGAGAGAGACCAGAGACAGAGACCGCAGTGAGACCACAGTGAGACCAGAGAGAGTCCTCTGAACTAATCACGGTGGTGTCATGTTATTAGTGTTTACCTGATGTGGTTGGAGTTCACTCGTGCTGCGTTATGATAAGATAGAACTTTATTGATCTCACTTTGGAGAAATATACAAGAAATTCATTACGTACTTATTTTCTTGGTCAAGTTTTGTAGATTTCTCCCAGAGCTATTTACATTGTGAATTAAACTGTTGTGATATTTAGTTTAGCTCAGCCCCAGTGCAGACGCCGTGGTCTCGTTGCCTCCTCGTTCCCTCTTCAGAATCATAAGAGAAGTCCACACGCTGTATGTGGGGCATGTGCTGCTCCCCAAACTCCTGTGATCCTCACATCTGTCCTCTCGGTGCACACAGCAGCGCTCCAGGGTTCTGCCGCTTTGAAGGAAACTATGGAACCCAGAATATAGAGATTATTGAGATTATACAGGTACTAGAAGCTCATGGACTGTATCTGCGTCTTCCTGACCAAGGTAAGGGCTGTGTTTGGTCCAGGGGGAGTCCAGGGTGCAGACTGGGACTGGTCCATAGGTCCAGAGGAGTCCAGGATGCAGACTGGGACTGGTCCATAGGTCTAGAGGAGTCCAGGATGCAGACTGGGACTGGTCCATAGGTTTAGAGGAGTCCAGGGTGCAGACTGGGACTGGTCCATAGGTCTAGAGGAGTCCAGGATGCAGACTGGGACTGGTCCATAGGTTTAGAGGAGTCCAGGGTGCAGACTGAGACTGGTCCATAGGTCTAGAGGAGTCCAGGGTGCAGACTGAGACTGGTCTATAGGTCTAGAGGAGTCCAGGATGCAGACTGAGACTGGTCCATAGGTCTAGAGGAGTCCAGGGTGCAGACTGGGACTGGTCCATAGGTCTAGAGGAGTCCAGGGTGCAGACTGAGACTGGTCCATAGGTCTAGAGGAGTCCAGGATGCAGACTGGGACTGGTCCATAGGTTTAGAGGAGTCCAGGGTGCAGACTGGGACTGGTCCATAGGTCTAGAGGAGTCCAGGGTGCAGACTGAGACTGGTCCATAGGTCTAGAGGAGTCCAGGGTGCAGACTGGGACTGGTCCATAGGTCTAGAGGAGTCCAGGGTGCAGACTGAGACTGGTCCATAGGTCTAGAGGAGTCCAGGATGCAGACTGGGACTGGTCCATAGGTTTAGAGGAGTCCAGGGTGCAGACTGGGACTGGTCCATAGGTCTAGAGGAGTCCAGGGTGCAGACTGAGACTGGTCTATAGGTCTAGAGGAGTACAGGATGCAGACTGGGACTGGTCCATAGGTCCAGCGGTCTAATGTCTATCTGTATACAGTCTGTGTTAGCATTGTCATATCTGTATACAGTCTAAGCTTTGAACATAATTCAACAGTAAAGATTCACTATAGTGTAACAGGTTTGATTCAGGAGCACACGGACAGAAGGGGCAAGGGGACGTGGACAGAAGGGGCAGGGGACGTGGACAGAAGGGGAAGGGGGACGTGGACAGAAGGAGCAGGGGGACGTGGACAGAAGGGGCAGGGGGACAGAAGGGGCAGGGGGACGTGGACAGAAGGAGCAGGGGGACGTGGACAGAAGGGGCAGGGGGATGTGGACAGAAGGGGCAAGGGGACGTGGACAGAAGGGGCAGAGGGACGTGGACAGAAGGGGCAAGGGGACGTGAACAGAAGGGGCAGAGGGACGTGGACAGAAGGGGCAGGGGGACGTGGACAGAAGGGGCAAGGGGACGTGGACAGAAGGAGCAGGGGGGACGTGGACAGAAGGGGCAGAGGGACGTGGACAGAAGGGGCAGGGGGACGTGGACAGAAGGGGCAGGGGGGCGTGGACAGAAGGGGCAGGGGGACGTGGACAGAAGGGGCAAGGGGACGTGGACAGAAGGAGCAGGGGGGACGTGGACAGAAGGGGCAGGGGGGCGTGGACAGAAGGGGCAGGGGGACGTGGACAGAAGGGGCAGGGGGACGTGGACAGAAGGGGCAGAGGGACGTGGACAGAAGGGGCAGGGGGACGTGGACAGAAGGGGCAGGGGGACGTGAACAGAAGGAGCAGGGGGACGTGGACAGAAGGGGCAGGGGGACGTGGACAGAAGGGGCAGGGGGACGTGGACAGAAGGGGCAGGGGGACGTGAACAGAAGGGGCAGGGGGACGTGGACAGAAGGCGCAGGGGGACGTGGACAGAAGGGGCAAGGGGACGTGAACAGAAGGCGCAGGGGGACGTGGACAGAAGGGGCAGGGGGACGTGGACAGAAGGGGCAGGGGGACGTGGACAGAAGGGGCAAGGGGACGTGAACAGAAGGGGCAGGGGGACGTGGACAGAAGGAGCAGGGGGACGTGGACAGAAGGAGCAGGGGGACGTGGACAGAAGGGGCAAGGGGACGTGAACAGAAGGAGCAGGGGGACGTGGACAGAAGGGGCAGGGGGACGTGGACAGAAGGGGCAGGGGGACGTGGACAGAAGGGGCAGGGGGACGTGAACAGAAGGGGCAGGGGGACGTGGACAGAAGGCGCAGGGGGACGTGGACAGAAGGGGCAGGGGGACGTGAACAGAAGGGGCAGGGGGACGTGGACAGAAGGGGCAGGGGGACGTGGACAGAAGGGGCAAGGGGACATGAACAGAAGGGGCAGGGGGACGTGGACAGAAGGGGCAAGGGGACGTGGACAGAAGGGGCAGGGGGACGTGGACAGAAGGGGCAGGGGGACGTGGACAGAAGGAGCAGGGGGACGTGGACAGAAGGGGCAGGGGGACGTGGACAGAAGGAGCAGGGGGACGTGGACAGAAGGAGCAGGGGGACGTGGACAGAAGGGGCAAGGGGACGTGGACAGAAGGAGCAGGGGGACGTGGACAGAAGGGGCAGGGGGACGTGGACAGAAGGGGCAGGGGGGACGTGGACAGAAGGGGCAGGGGGACGTGGACAGAAGGGGCAGGGGGACGTGGACAGAAGGGGCAGGGGGACGTGGACAGAAGGGGCAGGGGGACGTGGACAGAAGGGGCAAGGGGACGTGGACAGAAGGGGCAGGGGGACGTGGACAGAAGGGGCAGGGGGACGTGGACAGAAGGGGCAAGGGGACGTGAACAGAAGGGGCAGGGGGACGTGGACAGAAGGCGCAGGGGGACGTGGACAGAAGGGGCAGGGGGACGTGAACAGAAGGGGCAGGGGGACGTGGACAGAAGGGGCAGGGGGACGTGGACAGAAGGAGCAGAGGGACGTGGACAGAAGGGGCAGGGGGACGTGGACAGAAGGGGCAGGGGGACGTGGACAGAAGGGGCAAGGGGACGTGAACAGAAGGGGCAGGGGGACGTGAACAGAAGGAGCAGGGGGACGTGGACAGAAGGGGCAGGGGGACGTGGACAGAAGGAGCAGGGGGACGTGGACAGAAGGGGCAGGGGGACGTGGACAGAAGGGGCAGGGGGACGTGGACAGAAGGGGCAGAGGGACGTGAACAGAAGGGGCAGGGGGACGTGAACAGAAGGAGCAGGGGGACGTGGACAGAAGGGGCAGGGGGACGTGAACAGAAGGAGCAGGGGGACGTGGACAGAAGGGGCAGGGGGACGTGGACAGAAGGGGCAGGGGGACGTGGACAGAAGGGGCAGGGGGACGTGGACAGAAGGGGCAGGGGGACGTGGACAGAAGGGGCAGGGGGACGTGGACAGAAGGAGCAGGGGGACGTGGACAGAAGGGGCAAGGGGACGTGGACAGAAGGAGCAGGGGGACGTGGACAGAAGGGGCAGGGGGACGTGGACAGAAGGGGCAGGGGGACGTGAACAGAAGGGGCAGGGGGACGTGAACAGAAGGAGCAGGGGGACGTGGACAGAAGGGGCAGGGGGACGTGGACAGAAGGGGCAGGGGGACGTGGACAGAAGGGGCAGAGGGACGTGGACAGAAGGGGCAGGGGGACGTGGACAGAAGGAGCAGGGGGGACGTGGACAGAAGGGGCAGGGGGACGTGGACAGAAGGGGCAGGGGGACGTGGACAGAAGGGGCAGGGGGACGTGGACAGAAGGGGCAGGGGCACGTGGACAGAAGGGGCAAGGGGACGTGGACAGAAGGGGCAGGGGGACGTGGACAGAAGGGGCAGAGGGACGTGAACAGAAGGGGCAGGGGGACGTGAACAGAAGGAGCAGGGGGACGTGGACAGAAGGGGCAGGGGGACGTGGACAGAAGGGGCAGGGGGACGTGGACAGAAGGGGCAGAGGGACGTGAACAGAAGGGGCAGGGGGACGTGAACAGAAGGAGCAGAGGGGACGTGAACAGAAGGGGCAGGGGGACGTGGACAGAAGGGGCAGGGGGACGTGGACAGAAGGGGCAAGGGGACGTGGACAGAAGGGGCAGGGGGACGTGGACAGAAGGGGCAGAGGGACGTGAACAGAAGGGGCAGGGGGACGTGAACAGAAGGGCAGGGGGACGTGGACAGAAGGGGCAGGGGGACGTGGACAGAAGGGGCAGGGGGACGTGGACAGAAGGGGCAGGGGACGTGAACAGAAGGGGCAGGGGGACGTGGACAGAAGGAGCAGGGGGACGTGAACAGAAGGGCAGAGGGACGTGAACAGAAGGGGCAGGGGGACGTGGACAGAAGGGGCAGGGGGACGTGAACAGAAGGAGCAGGGGGACGTGAACAGAAGGAGCAGAGGGACGTGAACAGAAGGGGCAGGGGACGTGGACAGAAGGAGCAGGGGGACGTGAACAGAAGGGGCAGGGGGACGTGGACAGAAGGAGCAGGGGGACGTGGACAGAAGGGGCAGGGGGACGTGGACAGAAGGGGCAGAGGGACGTGGACAGAAGGGGCAGGGGGACGTGGACAGAAGGAGCAGGGGGACGTGGACAGAAGGGGCAGGGGGGGCAGGGGGACGTGGACAGAAGGGGCAGGGGGACGTGGACAGAAGGGGCAGGGGGACGTGGACAGGGCTCATGTCAACGGCAGAATGTCTGACTTTAAAACCATGAAACTGGAGTTCACTAGTTTAATAGTTTAGGTTTGAAATCCGGCTTCAGTGTTTCTGAGTGATTGGACTCTACCTCCTCTGATCCACTCTCAGCATGGACAGGATTACTCTGCTCCGTCTGCCTCCTTTAATCTGGGGTGGGCTTCACGGTCACGGTGGTCACCGTGGTTATGGGGGTCACGGTGGTTATGGTGGTCACGGTGGTTATGGTGGTCACGTGGTTATGGTGGTCACGGTGGTTATGGGGGTCACGGTGAGCACGATGGTAATGGTGGTCACGGTGGTTATGGGAGTCACGGTGGTTATGGTGGTCACGGTGGTTATGGTGGTCACGGTGGTTATGGTGGTCACGTGGTTATGGTGGTCACGGTGGTTATGGTGGTCACAGTGGTCACAGTGGTTATGGGAGTCACGGTGGTTATGGTGGTCACGGTGGTCACAGTGGTTATGGGAGTCACGGTGGTTATGGGGGTCACGGTGGTTAAGGTGGTCACGGTGGGCACGATGGTAATGGTGGTCACGGTGGTTATGGGAGTCACGGTGGTTATGGGGGTCACGGTGGTTAAGGTGGTCACGGTGGGCACGATGGTAATGGTGGTCACGGTGGTTATGGGAGTCACGGTGGTTATGGTGGTCACAGTGGTTATGGGAGTCACGGTGGTTATGGTGGTCACGGGGGTCACAGTGGTTATAGGAGTCACGGTGGTTATGGTGGTCACGGTGGTCACAGTGGTTATGGGAGTCACGGTGGTTATGGTGGTCACGGGGGTCACGGTGGTTATTGTGGTCACAGCGGTTATGGGAGTCATGGTGGTCCTGGGAGCTTCATGGTGGTCCGGGGGTCATGGTGGTCATTAGGGTCACTATGGTCACGGTGTTCATGGGAGCTTCATGGTGGTCCGGGGTTCATGGTGGTCATTAGGGTCACTATGGTCACGGTGTTCATGGGAGCTTCATGGTGGTCCGGGGGTCATGGTGGTCATTAGGGTCACTATGGTCACGGTGTTCATGGGAGCTTCATGGTGGTCCGGGGGTCATGGTGGTCATTAGGGTCACTATGGTCACGGTGTTCATGGGAGCTTCATGGTGGTCCAGGGGTCATGGTGGTCATTAGGGTCACTATGGTCACGGTGTTCATGGGAGCTTCACGGTGTTCATGGTGTTCATGGTGGTCATTAGGGTCACTATGGTCACGGTGTTCATGGGAGCTTCATGGTGGTCCGGGGGTCATGGTGGTCATTAGGGTCACTATGGTCACGGTGTTCATGGGAGCTTCATGGTGGTCCGGGGTTCATGGTGGTCATTAGGGTCACTATGGTCACGGTGTTCATGGGAGCTTCACGGTGTTCATGGTGTTCATGGTGGTCAATTAGGGTCATTAGGGTCCTCCTCCTGCTCCACTGCAGCTCACGGGGCTCGTGGCAGCTCTGCTCCAGGCGCATCCCAACGCTCTCCTGTCCCCTGCTCTCCCCCGGGCCCTACTCCAGTCACACCCTCCCCTCCACGGCCTCTGTTTGCACCAACTACACTCCTGGTGGGAGATTCTATCATCAAACACTGTAAGTTCTTCAATGCCATCATGCACTGCTTTCCCGGAGCCACTGTCCCCACCATCCTCACGAAACTAGCCGCACTTCTACAGACAGCACCCCCCACAATAACCCGGATCATAATACATGTTGGTACAAATGATGCTGCACTCCGCCAATCTGAAATCACCAAACTCCATTTTAAGGACCTTTTTAACCTTTTATCAAAAACCGGAAAAAGCGTTTTTATCTCTGGCCCTCTGCCCACGTTGAACCGGGGCGTGGAACGTTTTAGCAGGATACTATCACTCAACACTTGGCTTCAAAACTCATCACAACAGCACAACTTTGGTTTTATTGACAATTTGAATTTGTTCTGGAACCGCCACCCCTTCTTCACACCCGATGGACTCCATATCAATAAACTCGGCACCCGGTACCTGATTTCAAACATTACCCACTCAGTCCAATCCCGTCCCCCGCACCTCTGACAACCCATCACTCCATCCCACATCATTCCTGCCCGGCTGGACTCCAACATCGGTGCCTGCCCCCCCAAGGAATTTCAGTTCTGTCCAGACCCCGCCCCTACAGACCGTCCATACTCCGGAAACCGTCCCTCAACACCCTCATCCCTGTTGCCCTTTGCTCCTCCACATCATCTTCTCCCCTCACTACAAACAAAAATGACTCTCCATCCACCATCAGGTTTGCTCTTTTAAATGTACGCTCTCTTTTAAATAGAACTTTTATCATTAATGATTTGATTTTACAACACAAACTGGGTGCTATGTTTTTAACTGAGACCTGGCTGGGTCCAGATGCTCCGGCTGTTCTCACAGAGGCCTCCCCTCCCGATTTTAGCTTTGCTTTTAAAACAAGAGAAGGAAGAAGAGGTGGTGGCACAGCCTCAATTTGGAAAAACACCCTGGCCACCAAAACCATTAATTTTAACCAATACTCAAGTTTTGAGTATCATGCCCTTGTTTTTAGCAGCCCCGAAATTTTAGCAGTAACCATCTATCGGCCACCAAAAAAGTGCAGCCGTTGAATTTTCAGAGTTTTAATCTTTTTTATACAATTCCTATAATAGGATTGTTTTAACCGGTGATTTTAACATCCACTTTGACAACCCATCAGACCATTTTACCTGCGAGTTTGTAAGTATTTTAAACTACATGGATTTTACTCAACATGTCACACAGCCGACGCACAACAGAGGGCATACCCTCGACCTGGTCATTACTTATGGCCTGAGTGCGGGTGTGTCATCTGTTGTTGACTTGGCTATCTCTGACCACTATTGTGTGTTTTTTTTAAAATCACTGGTTTTGTTAAACAGGAGACCTCTGTGAGAACTGTGAAGAAACGACGTCTAACCCCTGAAGTGGCTGCAAGCTTGCCATCACATGTCCTTGGGCAAGACACTTAACCCCACTTTGCCTGAAGCCCCTGCTGAAAGATCTCAGCTCCTGTGGACTCACCACCTGCAGGAGGATCAGTGAGGGACTGGTGCTCTGACTGCCACCGCCCCCCGACCCAGAAATGGATTAAGGGGAAGAAGATGGATGTGTTAAAAAATTATCATGACGTTATTGCACTTCTGGTTTGACATTAAACTGCATTGTATTGCAGTTTCAAGTTGGATTGAATCTAACTTGGGCAGCACGGTGGCTGAGTGGACCAGGGCCTTTCTGAGTGGAGTTTGCATGTTCTCCCCGTGTCTGCGTAGGTTTCCTCCGGGTGCTCCGGTTTCCCCTACCACTAAAAACATGTACAATAGGTCTGGCATGCGCCTCATGTTCGCCGCCCTCGCTCCCATCTCTGTGTGGAGTCAGAGACTAATGCCCAAAAATAACAATTGTAAACCGCTTTGTGACTCTGGTTTGTGAAAGGCGCTATATAAATAAACATTACTTACTTACTTAATCTATCACGAGGGACTTCTGTATCAACACTGTCAAACTCATGCTGTGTTTAGCCTTTAAGGACCATCGTGTTCTTTTGCACCTCTGGATTATTTTTGTCTCGTGGAAAAATTAGAAGATGACAAAAGGCAGGAGCACAAAAATAAGTGATTTAATAAATGTAACATTTGGCTCTTGCTTTGCACCGAGAGTTAAGATAAGAAGATAAGAAGAAATTTGATAATAAATGCTTGAATACAGTGTTTTTTTGAGTCATTTAGTCTTTTTTCAAGAACTGTTGTTTTGCTTTCTCATTCCAAGGGAGACATTTCTGTATCTTTTTAAAAACAAGATCATTCTTCTTTGTCCCATTGGCAAATTGTGTTTTAAGGCAGTCAGAATGTGCTCAAATTAAACCACATTTAGTCAAATTTGAGCACTTTCTTCCAGTTTAAATCATGACAATTTCATTAATAATCATGTTTGTTTCTATAATGTGTGTATTTTCCTTTAAGTTGAACCAAAACTGGACCAAAAGTAAGAAAGACTTATTATTATTATCATTTTGCACATGAGAGCAGTGAGTTCTGGGTTCAATGTTTACAATGGAACGATTTATTTGTTTGAATTTCATAACAGAATTAAGTTTTAAAATGACATCAACATATAAACCTCTTCCTCTCAATGTTTGCAAGTTTTGTCCATGTACCCCGGGTTGGGAAACACTGCTCCAATGCGTTTCTCTCCATAGTCTGGGGGTTGTGTGACCACCATCTGATCCTCCTCGGCGTCCTGATCGCGGCCCTCGGAGCCTCCGTCACTCTCAATATTTACTGCACTTTCAGCCATTGTTCAGGTAACACAACTTTATTTTATTTTGTTTTGTTTTTATCTGCGTTGATTACATTACAGCATTTGTGAATCCTTTAGGGAAAAGAACCAGAAGAGGTTGGAAAAGAAGGTGTGAATGTTTAACAGAGAAATGATGTTGTGATTAAATATAAACCGTTTAAAACCGTGTTGAACTTGTGTGTAGGAGAACGCAGATGGAGGAGAACCCCATCTATGGAAACATGGACGATGCACAAACTGGTACAAAATACACACAAGGACTTAACGGTTTACTGTAAAATCTGGTCTCTTTCTCTCTCTGGTCTATCTCTAATTTATTTCTGGTTCCCATGTCTTTCTCTGGTCTCTCTCAGGTCTCTCTCTGGTCTCTCTCTGGTCTCTCTCTCTGGTCTCTCTCTGGTCTTTCTCTGGTCTCTCTCTGGTCTCTCTCTGGTCTCTCTCTGGTCTTTCTCTGGTCTCTCTCTGGTCTCGCTTTGGTCTCTCTCTCTGGTCTCTGGTCTCTCTCTGGTCTTGCTTTGGTCTCTCTCTGGCCCTCTCTCTCCCCCTACTCTATCCCTGATCTATCCCTGGTCTCTTGTCTATCTCTGGTCTCTCTCTCTGATCTCTCTCTGGTCTCTCTCTCTGGTCTCTCTCTCTGGTCTCTCTTTCTGGTCTTTCTCTGGTCTCGCTTTGATCTCTTTCTGGTCTCTTTCGGGTCTCTCTCTGGTCTCTCTCTGGTCTCTCTCTCTGGTCTCTCTTTCTGGTCTTTCTCTGGTCTCGCTTTGATCTCTCTCTGGTCTCTTTCTGGTCTCTCTACTGTCTCTCTCTCTTTCTGGTCTCTCTCTGGTCTCTCTCTTGTCTCTCCCTGATCTATCCCTGGTCTCTCTCTCTGCTCTCTCTCTCTGGTCTCTCTCTCTCTGGTCTCTCTCCCCCTGCTCTATCCCTGATCTATCCCAGGTCTCTCTCTCTTGTCTATCTCTGGTCTCTCTCTGGTCTCTCTTTCTGGTCTTCCTCTGGTCTCGCTTTGGTCTCTTTCTGGTCTCTCTCTGATCTCTCTCTGGTCTCTCTACTGTCTCTCTCTCTTTCTGGTCTCTCTCTGATCTCTCTCTGGTCCCTCTCTCTGGTCTCTCTTTCTGGTCTCGCTCTGGTCCCTCTCTCTGGTCTCTCTTTCTGGTCTCTCTCTGGTCTCGCTTTGGTCTCTTTCTGGTCTCTCGCTGATCTCTCTCCCTCTGCTCTCTCTCTCTCTCTCTCTCGCTGATCTCTCTCATAGAAGTCCCTTAGAGATAGAGTGAGGAGCTTGTAGTAGAGCCGCTGCTTCTCCCCGTGCAGAGAAGCCAGTTTAGAGAATATTACAAGGACACATCGTGTTCTTGTAATATTTTATCAGTCGGATCCAAGCGCTTTAATGATCTTGGTCTTTTTTGTTTATTTTATTAATGTATTTGTCTGGTGCACACTGGGAACTGTTGCACATGTATTCCAATGTGGTTTTACTGCAAATGGCAAATAATCAGAATCTGTATCTTTTCTCTTTAGGCTCCAGCACAGAGATGTCTTTCACTGCGTCTGGGAGAAGAGATCCGAGAAGAATAACGGCCATTTCTCAGGTACCAGTGAAATCTGAAGTCTTTTAAAACTTCTTAGATCAGATTCATTATTGACCTTTGATGACACTGAATATTGTTTTACGATTTGTAGTGCTGCTCATGCGAGAGGTTACATTTTATTGTAAAGGTGGAAAATTAGGATAAGTTTTATATTAGCATTGTCTGTCTACGATAAAATTCATAGGCAGCAACTACACTGCAAAAAGTGACAAAATATAAGGTAATAAATGCATGAATCAAGTATTTTTTATCTTAATTTGAGTATCTTTTAACTTTCTTAAAACAAGATTTGCCAACGGAACAAGCCATTTGGTCTTTTTTAAAGGGCTGTTGCAATTTTTGTCTCATTCCAACGGAAACATTTCTTGCTTTGTCTTGTACCGTTTTAAAACAAGACAATTTTGCTTGTCCCATGGAATATCTTGTTTTTAGACTGTCAAAATGTGTGTCAGATAAAACCACTTGATTCAAGCATTTATCACCTTATATTTTATCATATTTTGCAGTGTAGTGCCAGGTTCTCAAACAGAATCCCAGTTTAACCATAACATGAAAAATACAGAAAACTACATCCAATCCAGTTCAATCCAAATCGGTGTATTTTTATATCACCCGAAATCACAACAGAAGTTAACTCGGATGACTTTACTAAACTGTTTATTTTCTGACAACAGATCAGAGAATCAAACTTACTTACTTACTTACTTACTTACTTACAAACACAAAACATGCAATGATAGAAAACGCAGAGAGCCATTGGTCCATAAGAGACAGTTGAATGTCGAGTGTCCGCAGCTTTCAAACCAAATACTATAATGGAACTAGCTCTTGTATAATAACCACAGTAGCTAAAGTTTCTAAATAAAGTAGATTTTGTCCACATATAAGCCCCACTTGGATATAAGCCGCAGGTTCTCATGCAGTAACACAACAATACCAACAGCTAGAGCCATTATTGGTAAATTTAATCTCTTTTGGTCCGCCCTGATTTACTTATGAGGTTGATTTTTCTTGCTTGCTTTCGTCAACTTTTTACAACAGCTCATTGGTTTTACTGCAGTTTAAACTATTTTATTTTTTGTTATATTTAGATTGAAAGGTGTGTATTCATGAACAGTAGGATTAATACGCCAGATTAGCTAATTTGCATCTGTTCCACAATCACACACACAGTCACACACACTCATATAGCCTTCACCTACTGTACATGATTTTAGTGGTAGGGGAAACTGGAGCACCCGGAGGAAACCTACGCAGACACAGAAGAACATGCACACTCCCATCATCATTCAAACATATACCTTCATCAATAATAATATGACCTATTTTGATCAAGTGTCTAACTCTCATCATTCCTCGCATCTATAGGACTGCTATGCCAACCTCAGCCTCCAGAGGGCGCTGTATGGCTCTGTGCCTGGCTCTCCTCTCAGGCCCGTGGATCCAGATAAAGAGCCTGAAGAGCCGCAGTTTCAGGTGTCGGATCTGTACGCTTCAGTCCAAACCCGAGCCAAGACACTGCAGAGGCCGCACAGTTCCGACCAGTACCAAAACCACCTGTGAAAACCTTTTCTCATTCTGGTCTTTAAGCTTGGCACTCATCGTTTTAGAACAAGAGATAGACAAATGTTACTAGTTCCCCATCGCCCCAGGACTGTAGCCTCCGGACCCTACTCCTCTGTACCACAATCTCAATCTGCAACTCAACAAAGTCACTTCTAATCAATTACATCTTATATATAAAGTGCTTTTCAAACAAACAAATGCAACAAAAGGTGCTTTCTACAATTTGGTTCAAAACAATGTCGCATGCCCATGAACCGTCAAACCAACCACCCAACAGACCCATCCCAGACTAATGAATATGCACATACACACACACATACAGACACACACATGCATAGTTACATGAGATAAAATATAATAGGCATAACCCTGAAAAGATATGGAAAAGGTAGGTCTCTTACAACCTACACGCCAAAATATTACTAAGACAATGAATGAAATGAATCATGCTGCAAAGTGATTGTCTAGCCATTGATTTAAAAAGAAAGTGTGTATGGTGCGCAATTTTACTACAGAAAAGCTCACAATGAACCGCAGGTCATTTACATTTGACGCTTTAAACCGCATTTGGTGATATGTGATATTCTCAGTGTTTTTCTAAAGAACCTTTCGACGTGTAGCCAGAGATGAACGAGAAAGCAGTGTGACATTTATTAGAAAGGGCAACCACAACGTGACCAGGATGTGGAAACATTTAGGCCATGGACACAGTTAATGCGGTTAAATTCACAAATACACAAAAGGCTACACATTTTTTAAAAAAAAAGCAAAAAAGCATGTAAAAAAGCCCCGTCGGACCTCTGAAGCTAAGCTGAGTAGGGCCTGGTTAGCACTGTGATGGGAGACCTCTGGGAACACCAGGTGCCATAGTGGTGCTGCAAACTATAGTAAGATAAGATAAGATAAACCTTTATTAGTCTCACAGTGGAGAAATGTCAGTGTCATCGTTGCACATTACAGCAGAGAAAGGAAATAAGAGCACTCAGATTGCACACATCAAAGTCTATTATTTAAGATAATAGACAATAAATTTAAGATAAAATAAAATAAAATAAAATAAGAAAATCTGGGCTACAATTGCACTTGGTTCGGAGTATTTACAGATGTCTATATTATACATTAGCAGCGGAGAATATGAGAATATGAGCAGAATAAACATCAGAAATAATATCAACAGGTAAAGTGACTTGAATGGGAGAATTATCAGATGGATATGAATAATACAGTAAGATATCAACAGGTAAAGTGACGGTGGAAGGCAGAATTATCAGATATGAAATAATACAGTAGTACTGATAACAGTAAATATCAGATATGTAGTACTGTAGTAGTACTGATAACAGGTAAAAAGACTAGTGACAAAGTTACTAGTGAATTATCAGAAACACTTGTGCAGACTCAGCAGTTCCTGTTACACATTCTCGTTGTACAGTCTGACAGCAGCAGGAAGGGAAGAAAGGAAAGGAGTAGTGACCTTAGGCTTGACACTTCACCCACATTGAGTCTGGCGCATGAATAATTAGTGGGGATTGGAGAGGGCCGATAGCTTCTGTGCCCCAGGACATCTGCGGCTACAGTAGTAACTTATCACCGCTGTGTATGGAGTGAAAGACTAATGTGAAGTGTTTTTGAGTGACTATTAAGTGCTATACAATTATTTTCTGGTTTCTGGTAGTAATTATCAGTACATAACCAACAGCTGCTGGTTATGCAAAGTTCTAGTTCATCATTGGTCCTCGATAACCCCACGTACTCTATCAATCATCAGTTGTTTTTGTGACTATACTATTGTGTAGCGGTTGAAGCCAGTAGCTCCCAGCGTGGCCCTCCACTTTGCATCTGTACTAAAGGGCATTCTAACAACCAACAGCACAACACTGAACAGATATGAAGGAAACTCACCGGCTCTTATCTCCCGGCGTTATGACTATAAAAGCATTGGATGTTAAGACAGGTCATTGTGCTGCGAAGATGAGGTCCCACACGAGTCTCAGGCTGCGTCTCCCGTTGCTAATTTTTGCAATGGAGATAGTCATGCTAGTCCTTTATTCTTTATTTGTCACGTACGACGACAATGCCAATGCCAAGATGCAGAACAACGAGACAAATCCAATGGACAACTCAATGTATCGGGATTACCCATATTTCGCAGATGTCCAAGTCATGATTTTTGTCGGTTTCAGTTGCTTGCTCGGCTTTGGCAGGTTTTACGGATTCAGCGGAATGGTTTTCACCTTCCTCACGGCTGCCTTTTCAATCCAGTGGGCCATTTTAATCCAAGGTTTTTTCCAGTTTTACTACGACGGCAAGATTCACATGAGTGTCTTGGGTTTGCTGTACGCTGAATTTGCGTGTGCCGTGGTGCTCATTTCTTACGGAGCGGTTCTCGGGAAAACAAGCCCGGTGCAGCTTGTGGTGATGGCGTTGCTGGAAATCCCAATTTTTTCCGTCGTGGAATGGGCAGTCCTGAAGTATATCTGTATTACCGATTCTGGAGGAACCATTCTTATTCATCTTTTTGCTTGCTATTTCGGACTTGGCGCCACTTTCGTCTTGTATAGGCCAAGTTTGAACTCTGGACACCCCAAGGAGACAACAAGCTACAATTCCGATATTCTCTCGCTACTGGGAACGCTATTTTTGTGGGTTTTTTGGCCTTCGTTCAACTCCTCGTTGACGGTAAAAGGCGATGACCAACACCGCGCGATCCTGCACACGTTTATCGGACTCAGCTCGTCGACTATGACCGCTTTCGCCCTGTCTGCGATGTTCAACAAGCGTGGTAAGCTAACGATGGCGGACATCCAGAACGTGACGCTCGCTGGTGGAGTCACAGTGGGGGCGTCTGTGGACATGATGATTTCTCCGGCCGCTGCCTACGCATTGGGGGTGATGGGCTGCACAGCTTGCTTCTTCGGCTACAAATACTTGACTCCGTTCATGGCGAGACAACTGAGAATCCAGGACCAATGCGGCATCCATAACCTACACGGGCTAACGGGGATAATTTCATCGACTGCTGGGATCTGCGGCATTATGCTAGCAACGGAAGAAACGTACGGACCTAGCTTGTATCAAATCTTCTCCCATCGTGCCCCAGTGGAGGGAGATCCCAAACTGCTCGAACTGCAGCAGCTAATCCCAGGACTAAAACCCGGGTTGGGTCGCACGGCTAGAGAGCAAGCGCTATTCCAGGTAGCCGCCATATTTGCGACGATAGCGGCTTCAGCAGTTGGGGGCGTGCTGACCGGATTTGTGATGAACCTGAAGTTTCTAGCGTCGCCGTCGGATGAAGATTGCTTCGATGATGCAGTGTTTTTTGACGTGCCTTCAGATTTTGACACCACGTTCCTTCTCCAGATAGACCAGAATTCAGAAGAGAAAGGTCAAACTATCCCCATGAAGGTGGCAAAAGATCAGTAGGTTGTGTTGTTGAAGAAATGTATGTGAATTGAAAGGCAGGTGTGGATAAAACTCTATGGGAAAGGAGCTATGTTGAAAATGATAATGGCAAGGCAAGCTTATTTGTATAGCACAGTTCAACAATCACACAAGGCATTACAATCATAAATAGTCACAGTACATTAAAAAGAGTAAAAATAAGCACAGCAAAAAGGAACTGTTTTTCACCTGGATTTTGTGACCGTCTTTGCTAAATAAGTTGGCGATACAAAACAAGAAGTCTGACTTTTGACACTTCATCGTAATTACCAAGAAAAATGTTCAGCTGCGCTCCACCGCAACAATAAACTCTTGGCTCTTTAGGATGTTGTGATGTCACATGAACCCAAACTACGATGATTCCTGTTGAAATCCTATCGTGACGTGGATTTTGATTTGTACTTGAAATCTTTTTGTAAACTTGCATTTCCTGCTTTTTCTATTTATGGACTTTTACTTATGTACTTTGTGTACTTGTCTGGTGCTCACTGGGGACTTTTGCACTTGTATTCCAAAGTGGTTTTACTGCAAATGGCAAATAAACGGAATTTGAATCAGATCTGTGTGAAAACATGATTCTTGATGGTACAAAGCCAAGAACTTATTTTTTCATTCCAAGGGAGACTTTTCTGTATCTTTAAAAAAAATAATTTCATTTTGCTTTGTCCCATTGGTAAATCTAGTTGTATGGCTCAGAATGTGTTCAAATTAAGATACATTTTGCCAAATTTGAGCAATTTCTGACTTATTTTTTTTTAATGAACAATGAATAGAAATGACGATATGTAGATCAACACTGTACAAGACAGAAATACAGTTTTTGTGCAATCTCTTTGTTTATTTAATTTTATTGTATTGTCTTATGGCTAAATCAACTTGAGTGTGAAATCTGCATTACCTAAGATAACTTTAATAATATCTATAACTCCTATATCTTGCCTTTTGACACATTATTCCCTGATAACCTTTTATGATCTGGTTTAATTTATGACATGATGAGAGATGAATCCTCCTCCTCATTTGACCCTGTAGCTTTTCATTATCGCAGGTTAACACATTCTGCAGAAAGGGTCACGGAGGCACGGGGCTAAAAGATCCACGTGAAGTTTCAAAATAACAATACAAAACACGACCTCTAAACATTACGCTAATCACAGAGTCAAAGTAATCTCTGACTTTAGCTGCATTTTTTCAGCTAAAGTCAGAGATTTTGTAGTTAATGCTTGCTTCCGCACCAATGGGCCATATACATGATTTTGTGATAGCTGTAAAAATAAAATATATGAATGTTTTAAGAACTTGAAATAAATTTGAGTGGACCCACGAAGACTTTAGCTTCACTGGAAAAAATGATGAATAATGAGGTATTAATTTCTTGAATCAAAATGCTAGATTGAAGATTTGCCTTTTTTCAAGAATTGTTAATTATAATAAATCGGTTTTATGATGGCAACCAGTCTGTGCCATCAGCCCCTCCCACCACCACCAACCATTCACACACACACACCAGACTCATTCTAATGTGGGGGAAGTGTCTTGCCCAAGGACACAACAACATCAGTGGGAGTCGGTGGAGAAAGTCTTGTGGTGGGCTCAAACCCACGACCTTCAGGCTCAAAGGTTCTACCAACTGAGCCACTGTCGCCCTGTTGCTTTATTTCTCATTCCAGGGGAGACATATCTTCTATCATCATAAAACAAAACAAACAAGATAAAACTTTTTCTTGTCCCATGAGCAAATCTTGTTTTACGGCAGTCAAAATATTCTCAATACATTTTGCCAAATTGGAGAAATGTTTGACTCATTTTTCATATTTTTTGACAGTTTAGTCCTATAAAAACTAAGATTGTATTGTTTAAGCACATTTGAGTCTGTAAGTTTTAGTTTCTTCTGGTTTTAACCTCAGGCCCCGTCTTACATCAGTGACCTGATCCAGCCTTACACCCCAGCCAGGGCTCTGAGGTCTGTGGATCAGAACCTCCTGATGGTTCCACGCACTCGCTTCAGGACCAGAGGAGACAGGTCCTTCCTGTTGCTCCCAAGCTTTGGAACGTTCTCCCGCTCTCTCTGCGTTCTATAGAGTCTGTTGAGTGCTTCAAAAGTCAACTTAAAACCCATTTATTTGTTCAGGCTTTTGCGTAAGTTTGTCTTGCTGTTTTCTTTTACATGGTTGTCTTGGCCTTTAAAAATGTGTATGTCTAATTTACATGTCTGTTTTTATACTATGTGAAGCGCTTTGTGACCCTGGTCTGTGAAGGGCGCTATATAAATAAAGTTTACTTACTTACTAAGTTGTCTCAGTAAATGTCCTTATTTGAAAGTGAATGTATTATGTGTTTTTAATATCCATTCCTCTTCACTGTCTTTGATACAATATATATATATATATATTTATAGTATTGTGAATAAAATTAACACATATTTAGAGTGGTTTAAATCAGTTTTGTTTGTTTAACAATTATTAGTATTCACTGATGCTGAACTCTGGTTTATACACTAATAAAAAAAGCTTTGATTACCGTTCATATCAGATCCTTTTCTCTTTATTATGGACAATCATGGACAATACAAAGTACACAAATCTTCAATAAACACTTTGGACGGATAAGTATTAGAGCTCTCTCTCTCTGCTCTCTCTCTCTGCTCTCTTTCTGCTCACTCACTTCTACAGTCGTGACTTCAGGTGTGTGTGAGTTCTCAGTCTTAAAACACACAGCTGCTACTGAGAGGATTTCGCTTATTGCTGGTTATTTTTAGACCCTGCGATAAAGAAGAGACCTGAGTGTAGAAACTGGACTCTCTCTTTGTGAGGATCCGTGAGAGAGTCTTCTGCTGAAGTGTGAAGCAGCAGATGGCTTCGCTCCCGCTGACGGGTAACACTTAATGAGATTTCTGCACCTTTTAAATGTGTGAAGTGGGTTTTGCCTGACAGAAATATGAACAACAACCGTGCAACATTTTATATTTCACACTCTGAGCGAAGAAACCTTAATATTAGTGTTGATAAGAAATGTGAGTCTGAATCTGCTGACAGAAATATACTTTGGAATAGACTTTCGAGACGCCCCCGGGTTTTCAAGACAAGACTTAAAACCCTTAAAGGCCCTTCACTGTTCTCTCTCTGGTCCCTCTCTCTGGTCCCTCTCTCTGGTCTCTCTCTCTGGTCTCTCTCTCTGGTCTCTCTCTCTGGTCCCTCTCTCTGGTCCCTCTCTCTGGTCCCTCTCTCTGGTCCCTCTCTCTGGTCCCTCTCTCTGGTCCCTCTCTCTGGTCCCTCTCTCTGGTCCCTCTCTCTGGTCCCTCTCTCTGGTCCCTCTCTCTGGTCCCTCTCTCTGGTCCCTCTCTCTGGTCCCTCTCTCTGGTCCCTCTCTCTGGTCCCTCTCTCTGGTCCCTCTCTCTGGTCCCTCTCTCTGGTCCCTCTCTCTGGTCCCTCTCTCTGGTCCCTCTCTCTGGTCCCTCTCTCTGGTCCCTCTCTCTGGTCCCTCTCTCTGGTCCCTCTCTCTGGTCTCTCTCTCTGGTCCCTCTCTCTGGTCCCTCTCTCTGGTCTCTCTCTCTGGTCTCTCTCTCTGGTCTCTCTCTCTGGTCTCTCTCTCTGGTCTCTCTCTCTGCTCTCTCTCTCTGGTCCCTCTCTCTGGTCCCTCTCTCTGGTCCCTCTCTCTGGTCTCTCTCTCTGGTCCCTCTCTCTGGTCCCTCTCTCTGGTCCCTCTCTCTGGTCCCTCTCTCTGGTCCCTCTCTCTGGTCCCTCTCTCTGGTCTCTCTCTCTGGTCTCTCTCTCTCTGGTCTCTCTCTCTCTCTGGTCTCTCTCTCTCTCTCTCTCTGGTCTCTCTCTCTCTGGTCTCTCTCTCTCTGGTCTCTCTCTCTCTGGTCTCTCTCTCTGGTCTCTCTCTCTGGTCTCTCTCTCTGGTCTCTCTCTCTGGTCTCTCTCTCTGGTCTCTCTCTGGTCTCTCTCTCTGGTCTCTCTCTCTGGTCTCTCTCTCTGGTCTCTCTCTCTGGTCTCTCTCTCTGGTCTCTCTCTCTGGTCTCTCTCTCTGGTCTCTCTCTCTGGTCTCTCTCTCTGGTCTCTCTCTCTGGTCGCTCTCTCTGGTCTCTCTCTGCTCTCTCTCTCTGCTCTCTCTCTCTGCTCTCTCTCTCTGCTCTCTCTCTCTGCTCTCTCTCTGCTCTCTCTCTCTGCTCTCTCTCTGCTCTCTCTCTGGAAAGGCCCTTCTCTGTGGCTGGACCAAAGCCTTCCTGCACCTCAAGTTAGCGCTCTAACAAAATAAAAATCCACACTTTTGCTGCACCGCTGTCTGAACTTATAGAATTTAAAGACCTTGAAAAAAGTCACGACTAATAGTCCAACAAGTACTGTACAAAAATAACTGAATTTAAAATATAGAATAGAGGTGTAAAAGTGGAGAGGAGCTTACCCGTCACACACCTCCCGTATTATTGAATTCAGAGCTCTCTTCTGCAAGAATAAGACAGAATCAGGATCAGATATATCTTTATTAGAATTGTAAGTATCAGGAAGTCACAAACTAGGAATTTGCTTTGGCTTAAGGTGAAAAAAACGTAAGAGAAAAAATAGGTAAAAAATATGCACTAAAAAATCTTTATAAAATGTCTTTAAATTACTACAATATTCAAGTGGATAAGAACACATATAGACATTTGCCGTTAGAGTAAGAACAGATTTAAGGATTCTAAAAGAGCAGTGGAGTTCTGACCTGATCCATCTCGATGAGCTGAGCGTTGGCACCGGGCCACTCGATCGCCACCTTCACGATGTCTGCGGGAGGCGGCATTTCTCTGCTCTCTGTGACCCTGCGACAAGATCAAACACATAATAATCATAATCATAATAATGCATCAGTTTTATACAGCGCTTTTCTGGACACTTAAAGACGCTGTGGTTATTCTTTCACTCCACACGGTGGTGACAGGACTGTGGCCCCTGCTGTTTCCAGAATCTGTTTAGGGCCACACAAACATCTGACCAGTGTTGGCTCCAGAGAGTACGGCTGCACAGTACTGGAAATTAGAGCGATATTCCATGTGTTTAGTATTGCAATAACGAAATTGCATCTGCACTGACACACAAGAGACAAATAACAAAAACACGAATGACATTCAAATGTATCTATTTATATACTTTTTTGTTTGTTTGTTGTATTTGTTGAATGTTGACGTGTCTGTTTTGTTGTCTTTAATAAAAAAATCCCATATATTTTCGATATGGATATTGCACACACCAATAACGATAATTTTTGATATGTCGTGCAGCCTTACCAGAGAGTGTGACTAGATAGATCGATACCAGACAGTAGGACACACAGACCGACCTGCAGGTTTTCATTCCAACCAAGCAGGAGCTCACCACACCACTCCTCGGGTAAAGACTGGACTCACTCCAGTAAATGAGTGGAGTCTGGTGTGCTCCTGCTTGGTTGGACTTAAATCCTGCTGTTTCTTGGACCTTTCTGGAGCCCGTCTGACACCTCTGCCTTAAGCCAGACTCACACAGACAACACACGTACACTCACACAGACAAGGCACGTACACACCATAGACTGTATATATTAACGGACAGAGTCATGCCTATCTCTGCCGTTCTGACTTATGGGCCAAAAAATGTGCTCTACTGGAGCAATCCAAAATGGCCGCGAGTGGTCCCGCCCACAAGAAAATTGTGAAAAAATGCATCTGCGCATGCATCAGTAGGCGCAACTCCATTCATTTGAACGAGAGACTTAAAAAATTCACAGCAAGTAAACTAGAGTGGACCAAAAAAATCCACCCCCCTCAGCATTGACACACATGTGGAACGGAGCTTTGGGCCAAGAGACAACTTTTGGACCATCCTGTAAAGACGTTTTCGAGAGGTCTGCCAACGCTATATGTTAGCATTGGCTAATTCTTCATCTGGGTCCACCCCCACAGGCCCGGGGTGGTATTGCAGCATGTCAGCGCACGTCATTTTGGCCACTTTTGAGCTGGGACCCTCCCCCACTGGTACACACGTACACACACACACGCACACACATCCGAAGACAATGAGACTACACAAACCTGACTTGTTGCACACGCGGTTCAGTCACGCTGCTCCTCTCTGCAGCCGCTGTGTCCTGCTCCTGTCCACAAGAAACTCACTTCAGTCCTGACCGCCCCGCTCTGCATCATCATCATCATCATCATCATCACACCCTCCTGCTGAGGTTTCTCTCACACCACCCACACCCTCCTGCTCAGGTTTCTCTCACACCACCCACACCCTCCTGCTGAGGTTTCTGACACACCACCCACACCCTCCTGCTGAGGTTTCTGACACACCACCCACACCCTCCTGCTGAGGTTTCTCACACACCACCCACACCCTCCTGCTGAGGTTTCTCTCACACCACCCACACCCTCCTGCTCAGGTTTCTCACACACCACCCACACCCTCCTGCTGAGGTTTCTGACACACCACCCACACCCTCCTGCTGAGGTTTCTCACACACCACCCACACCCTCCTGCTGAGGTTTCTCTCACACCACCCACACCCTCCTGCTCAGGTTTCTCACACACCACCCACACCCCTCCTGCTGAGGTTTCTGACACACCACCCACACCCTCCTGCTGAGGTTTCTCACACACCACCCACACCCTCCTGCTGAGGTTTCTCTCACACCACCCACACCCTCCTGCTGAGGTTTCTCTCACACCACCCACACCCTCCTGCTGAGGTTTCTCTCACACCACCCACACCCTCCTGCTGAGGGCTCTCTCACACCACCCACACGTGTCGACGGACTTTACAAAGTTGTTAATGACAGATCAGAGAATTAAACCGTTCAAACACAGACATTGTTGGTTCTTTTTTTTGTTGAAAGACTGATATTGAAGCATTTTCAGCTAGCTAAGAAGATAAGACAGACTTTATTGATCTCAAACTGGAAACATAGCGCTTCTATGTTTCTACTACTTTAGTGTGCTCCCCGTGTGCTCCCTGTGTGCTCTTAATGTCCTGTCTGTGCGCTGCAACATTGACATTTCCCCACTGTGGGACACATAAAGGATCTTAATCACAGCCAAAGAACGGAGAACTCTAAACAAGGTGCTACGTTCTGCAAAGAGGACTGAGCGGGATGTCCATAAATGTCCCGGATCATCACTGTCCGTAGACAGTCCTGATTCGGCCAAAAAACTCAAAAATCCAGTGGGATTTTTTTAAATTATTATTATGGTTATTTGCAAACGACAAGAGGACTATTACGACACTTTCTGGACTTTAAGCCACCACTTATACTCAACTTCTTTCAACCCTGCGGCCGATACGGAGCTGCGGTCAAACCATGTATTTCTAATTTTGTTAGAGCTCCCCCTGGTGCGTGTGGAGGGTATTGTTTGTCGAAATAGTTTGGAATTATGTGGATCAAACTTTCTTAACACGTTGCCGGTCTCATTTAACTGCATTATATCTGTATTTTAACAGAATTTTAACTTATATTTTTCTTTGATGCTTGAAGGGTTAACTTAACTGGAATGTACAGTGCCTTGCAAAAGTATTCGGCCCCCTTGAACCTTTCAACATTTCGCCACATTTCAGGCTTCAAACATAAAGATATAAAATCTTAATTTTTTGTCATGAATCAACAACAAGTGGGACACAATCGTGATGTGGAATGAAATTTATTGGATAATTTAAACTTTTTTAACAAATAAAAACCTGAAAAGTGGGGCGTGCAATATTATTCAGCCCCTTTACTTTCAGTGCAGCAAACTCAGTCCAGAAGTTCAGTGAGGATCTTTGAATGATCCAATGTTGTCCTAAATGACTGATGATGATAAATAGAATGCACCTGAGTGTAATCAAGTCTCCGTATAAATGCACCTGCTCTTTGATAGTCTCAGGGTTCTGTTTAAAGCGCAGAGAGAACCATGAAGACAAAGGAACACACCAGGCAGGTCCGAGATACTGTTGTGGAGAAGTTTAAAGCCGGATTTGGAAACAAAAAGATTTCCCAAGCTTTAAACATCTCAAGGAGCACTGTGCAAGCAATTATATTGAAATGGAAGGAGTATCAGACCACTGCAAATCTACCAAGACCCGGCCGTCCCTCCAAACTTTCATCTCAAACAAGGAGAAGACTGATCAGAGATGCAGACAAGAGGCCCATGATCACTCTGGATGAACTGCAGATAACTACAGCTGAGGTGGGAGAGTCTGTCCATAGGACAACAATCAGTCGTGCACTGCACAAATCTGGCCTTTATGGAAGAGTGGCAAGAAGAAAGACATTTCTCAAAGATATCCATAAAAAGTCTTGTTTAAAGTTTGCCACAAGCCACCTGGGAGACACACCAAACATGTGGAAGAAGGTGCTCTGGTCAGATGAAACCAAAATCGAACTTTTTGGCCACAATGCAAAACGATATGTTTGGCGTAAAAGCAACACAGCTCATCACCCTGAACACACCATCCCCACTGTCAAACATGGTGGTGGCAGCATCATGCTTTGGGCCTGCTTTTCTTCAGCAGGGACAGGGAAGATGGCTAAAATTGATGGGAAGATGGATGGAGCCAAATACAGGACCATTCTGGAAGAAAACCTGTTGGAGTCTGCAAAAGACTCCAGATGCTGAACCTGGAAACACGAGTCGTGAAAAAGCACATTAAGTCTTAGTGGAACAAAGCAGATGGCGGCGTTAAGAGCTGAATAAATAAAACTGTTTACGTCACATTCATAAAACACGGATAAATCTGTGATGTTTGTGATGTTTGTGGGCAGTAAAAAGAAAAGCATTAAATTCATCTCCATCTGCTGCAGAAACCACCTCCACATCAGCGTCTGCGCAGAGAGACCTCTGTTTTTAATCCTCCTTCACTGCTGCTCTTCACTATGACAAATAAACAGCCGTGTGTGTGTATGCCTGTGTGTGCCTATGTGTGTGTGTGCCTGTATATATATGTGTGTGTGTATGCCTGTGTGTGCCTATGTGTGTGTGTGCCTGTATATATATGTGTGTGTGTATGCCTGTGTGTGCCTATGTGTGTGCGTGCCTGTATATATATGTGTGTGTGTATGCCTGTGTGTGCCTATGTGTGTGTGTGCCTGTATATATATGTGTGTGTGTATGCCTGTGTGTGCCTATCTGTGTGTGTGCCTGTATATATATGTGTGTGTGTCAGTGTGTGTGCCTGTGTGTGTATGTATGTGTGTGTGCCTGTGTGCGCGCCTGTGTGCGCGCCTGTGTGTGTAAATGTGCGTATATATGTGTGTGTGTGTGTGTGTGTGTGTGTGTGTGGGCTGACAGTTCATCTGGGTTCATGTATGGAAATGCATCTTCATCACTGCTTCCACAAACCTGAACAATCCTCAGTGGAAGGAGTTGAATAATGTTTCTTGAATATTTAAAGCTCTAAAACTAAAACACGGGTCTCCAACCTGTGGCTCGGTAGCTCCCCTCTCAGGTAGCTCCCCTCTCAGGTAGCTCCCCTCTCAGGTAGCTCCCCTCTCAGGTAGCTCCCAAAAGATTCACGTATTTAACACATGATCCTGAATTATTACTTTTTGAGTCATTTCCTGTATATTTTAACTATAGATGTTTTCATGAATGTGTAGAATTTATTAGTATATTGTGTGTTCTCCAGGATTTTCTGGAGTTATTACACAGACTACAATTGTTTTACAACTGATAAAAGAGTAAAAAGGACCTCTCCAATCAAACAAAGCACAACATTAAAAGGCAAAATATATCAACGTCCAGAGTATTCTACATCTGTGTACGAGGGTTTACGACTACTCCTTGTCATGTAGTAAATAAAGGTCATGAAAATAATGTAATGTATTAATAAAATTAATGTCCAAAGTGAAAATCTAAAAACTAAACAAATCCAAAACTGAACTTAGGAACCAGCCTCAAATGTGAAGAGCACAGAGTTCACAGACACAGACCATCATCTGGAAATAAAACTAAAACAAAACCACAAGAGAAGTGATGTCACAATAAAAACATAAGATAATAAATCCTTTATTCATCCAGCAGTGGGGAAATGTCAGTGTTGCAGCGCACATACAGGACAGTAGAAGAAGCACACAGGGAGCACACTAAATATACGACATAAGTAGCCACTATGTTTCTTAGCTAGCTGTAAATGCTAAGAAACAAAGCAGCTACTTATGATTGTACCTGTCAGTCTATTGTCAGTGTGGACTGGACCCTACTGGGCTAAAGAAAGAATTATTAGTATCTAGTATCTTACCTGCCTAACCCATCCATCCACCCATCCACCCATCCATTCATCCATCCATCTATTAGGGGGAATTGGCAAAAATGCAACCATTAGTATTGCGATATTTGGGCCACAATTTCAATATCATTCAGATTGTAAACATACTGCGATACAGCCAGTATTGCGATTCGATTCTGCGATATTCTTGGGTTTCATATAACGTCAGGACAGTGGTGCGAATAACAAGCGTAGGACAGGACGTGACGTATCCTGGAGGTGCAGTCTGCCGGGTTTATACACGGAGATATAGTAGAAGAAGAAGCGGTTTATACACGGAGATATAGTAGAAGAAGAAGCGGTTTATACACGGAGATATAGTAGAAGAAGAAGCGGTTTATACACGGAGATATAGTAGAAGAAGAAGCGCTGTCAAAATGCCATCTTTTTGTGCGGTGTACGCTTGTAGCAACCGCACAAAGAGAAAGACCAGAGTTTGTTCATGTTCCAACTGTGTCTCATATAAAGGAGGACACTTTGAAAAAATCACTGGAATGAGGCGGGCGAGGTGGATCAAGGCTTTCCCAGATAAGCGCCCCCTGCAGGCCACCCCAATGAAACGCAGCCATTTCTTCTGTTTTTTTTTTCCAAAAATGCCCGAAATCAAGACTCTTTTGAGAAATATTTTTTAGTTCTCCCTTAGAGTTGAGTGTCTCCGATTAAGACTGTTACAGTGTACACCGCACAGGAGGAGAGCCTTTGACTCCAAAACAGACTTTACATGGTTTTCAATATCCCACCTCTGCTCATGCGCCCCCTACAGGCCAGGTTCATGAAACCCAAGAATATTACGATTCAAATCCCTCACATTCAAGACTGCTCAGCTCAGATGTCACATTATGGTCTGCACATTAACTGAACTGCAAAAACACGTTGTAGAACATGTTATGATGAAGCCATTTTCTAAGCACATCTAAGCAACTCAAAAGGCGCCCCCTTGTGGATGTAACACGCAAATGTAAAAGTGAAACGGATAATCATTTAGTTATATATTGCGACACTTTGCTCTACTAATTTCTGTCTACCTTCCTACCTACCTACCCAATCCATCTATCTACTCATCCATCAATCCACCCATCTATCTCAAGACTAGAATCTGTGTCAAGCACATAGAAAACAGAAGTATGTGTTTCTGTGTGTGGTAAAAGCTGCAGTAGAATGTCCAGGGCACTGAGAGAGATGTGTGTGTGCTGTGTGTGAATCAGATGTGTGTGTGTGCTGTGTGTGAATCAGATGTGTGTGTGTGTGAATCAGATGTGTGTGAATGTGGGCCGGTCCGCTGAGCCTGGTGTTGTGCCCTTTGAGCCGAGACCAAGCCTTTCTGTCGGATTTGTTAAGAGTTTTTTATTTATTTTTTTCCCCTCAATGAGAAGAGAGCTAGACAGATCATCGCCATGGTAACCAACCCCTTTCACCGCCAACTATATGTGCTGACTGTAAAAGAAAATATATTCAAGAAGCAAAGAAGCATGTACTTTACGAGTTTCCACAGGGGAAACTCCATTCATCCATTCATGCAACCATTTAAGGGCCCATATCACGGTTTTTGACTTTTCTCTGCTTTAAACATGATTACATGGACCAGTGGACTCACTCCTTCACTGTATCCAACAGATCAGTGAGTGGATGCAAAACAACTTCCTTCAGCTAAACGCAGACAAAACTGAAATGATTGTCTTTGGTCCTCAGAAACAAAGAGAGAGCGTCATCTGTCACCTACAGTCTCTCTCCCTAAAACCTTCAAACAAGGTCAGAAATCTAGGGGTAATACTGGACTCAGACTTAAATTTTAATAGCCACATTAAATCAGTAACATCAGCAGCTTTTTACCATCTAAAAAACATTGCCAGGATCAAAAACATAGTGTCTAAAGCAGACCTGGAGATTCTTATCCATGCATTTGTCTCCAGTAGGTTAGACTACTGCAATGGCCTGCTCACAGGTCTGTCCAAACAGGCTGTAAAACAGCTGCAGTACATTCAAAATGCAGCAGCTCGAGTCCTGACTAGAACCAGGAAGTACGACCACATTAGTCCTGACTAGAACCAGGAAGTACGACCACATTAGTCCTGACTAGAACCAGGAAGTACGACCACATTAGTCCTGACTAGAACCAGGAAGTACGACCACATTAGTCCAGTCCTCAGGTCCCTGCACTGGCTTCCTGTGGCTCAGAGAATAGACTTTAAAACAGCTCTGCTTGTTACAAGTCTCTCCATGGCCTCGCACCAAAATATATTAGTGACATGTTAGTCCCATATGAACCAGCCCGGACTCTGAGGAGCACAGGGACTGGACTCCTGTTAGTGCCCAGAGTCAGGACTAAACATGGGGAGGCTGCTTTTCAGATTCATGCTGCTAAAATCTGGAACAATCTTCCTGAAGATGTGAGACAGGCCTCCTCTCTGACAATGTTTAAAACCAGGTTAAAAACGGTTCTGTTTAGCTGTGCATACAACTGAGGGATTTTATATTTTTATCTTTCTTTTTAATGTTCTGTGATTATTTATGATTTTAATGCTTTCTTATTTTTGTTCAGCACTTTGAGTTGCCTTGTGTATGAATTGTGCTATATAAATAAACTTGCCTTGCCTTACAGTGCTATTTGGCCTTCATACACAAGCCCACAGTAGTTTATTCATTGATTCTGTCAATCTTTAGTAAGAGAGCGATCTGTCTCCTTCCCCAGCGAGAGGCAGTGAAACGCTCGGGTCCACTTCAGTGACGAAAACCACTCTGATGACGCGCATGACCCCGTTTGCTTTGTATTTAAAATAGTTTTAAATACTTTTGTCAAAACGGGGTGAACAATACACAATAAGTATGCTGTTTGTTGTCCAAAATAATGAAAATAAAAATAATAGTAAAAGCCGGCGGGAGGTGATTGACAGATAAAACAGCAAATCAGAGCACGCAGCCAGTTCCCGAGTCCGGCTCCCGAATCCAGCGTCTGTGGTCTGGTCTCGCGGACTCCACATAGAGCTGCTGTTTTTCTGCTTTTGTCAGCAACTGTATAAGTGTCAGGATCACGTCAACTTGAATGAAATGTGTTTTGGGTATAAATATGTGACGCACTATTTGTCCCGAAGTGGAAGAAAGCAGCTCAACTTTTTTAATCTGCTCATCTCATGGATCTATTATAATAACGTTTAATCTGCGACACTTCACTGAGACTGTTCCAGAACCACAGGGACAATGGAACTGGACTTACTCAAAAACTGGTCTGAAAACATGTGTTATTCCCACGATAAAAGACACCAACACTGAGCCCTGATCTGCGAGTACAGTGACGCTAACTCGCTGTATACTTCTGTAAACTAAATAATTAGGGTCTGATTGTGCAGCGAGGACATAGGGCTCGATGTAACGGATTGTCATTGTTGGAAAAGTTTATTCTAATGTTTGAAATGACTGCACCGGTGATAAACAACAAGAGCGTGATGCTATGTCGCACGCTCGGTCCTACAGCCTCGGCCCTGGGTCTACAGCCTCGGCCCTGGGTCTACAGCCTCGGCCCTGGGTCTACAGCCTCGGCCCTGGGTCTACAGCCTCGGCCCTGGGTCTACAGCCTCGGCCCTGGGTCTACAGCCTCGGCCCTGGGTCTACAGCCTCGGCGGTCTACCTGGGGTCTACAGCCTCGGCCCTGGGTCTACAGCCTCGGCCCTGGGTCTACAGCCTCGGCCCTGGGTCTACAGCCTCGGCCCTGGGTCTACAGCCTCGGCCCTGGGTCTACAGCCTCGGCCCTGGGTCTACAGCCTCGGCCCTGGGTCTACAGCCTCGGCCCTGGGTGCAGCTGAGGACAGTGATGATCCAGGACCTTTGTGGACAGTGGTCATCCTGCTCCTTCGTGTTTGTTGTTATTGCATTTTCTGTGTTCGAAGGGTTTGATTCTCTGATCTGTTGTTAGTGAATCAACAACTTTGTAAAGTCTTCCGAGACGACAAATGTCTAATTTGCCTTAGATTGTAACAAAGAGTTTGCTCTAACAAACAGTAGACGGTGAAAAACTGCATCGCTCATAACATTCTGTGAAAACCACTAATGACTCAAGTTCATTAAAGTCGTGGCGCCAAATAAACGCCACTTTATTTCAAACGTTTAATTTATATCGCTTTGTTCGTACATCCACTTTAAACCTGTATATCATGTATCCTTGTGACAACGAAACTTTTCATTCTTAAAGTGTAGGAACATTTGTGAGAATGTTTCTGTTTCTATGTTGTACTATATTTCTATCATTATCCTCATCCTGGGGAGAAGGATGAGGGCTGGGATGCAGGGCATGCTGGGTAACTCCTGACACTCTCTGTGTGACACTATGGCCGAAGCAACAGGCTCCTATCACTACGCTGCCGAACGGAACGTTTTAAGATATCCTTTGTTTCTTCGGCTGTCAGACTGTATTGTATTGTATTGTATGTACTTTATTTGAACAGGGACAGTGTACAGCTAAGCATTAACACAAAGGAGAGATGCATGTACCAGGTTATAGCAGAGATGCTAACTTCCACCTGTAGTCCCTGGGCAGGCTGCTGTTATGTTCATTTACAACAAACCTGAATGAGTCTTCTGCTGCTGGACACCTGAACTTCTCCAATGGGGATCAATAAAGTATCTATCCATATATCTATCTATATATCCATCTATCTATCTATCTACAGTATCTATCTATCTATCTATCTATCTATCTATCTACAGTATTTATTTTTAGCTACCTACCTTTAGCTAAAATTCATCTGATGTTGACATTGTCACTTGTCAACCAACTTTCTGTGGCAGTTAAAGCCCTCTTTTCAGAGTGCTTGGCCTGGACTGGTGCTGGACTGGTGCTGGACTAGTCTTGGACAGGTCCTGGACAGGTCCTGGACAGGTCATAGACTAGTTTTGGACCGGTCTTGAAAGGATCGTGAACTGGTAACTAGCACTTTGAAACCGTTACCATAGCAACATACAGCATTGTGTTAGCAGTATAGCATAGTAGCATTTCAACCAAACTGTTTTTGCTGTATTTAAATTAAGTCAATCAGTTTTAAATCTTAACAAAAGAGAGTAAAGGTAAAATATTTAATAAATGACTGATAAACTTAGTGAATGAACCAAACTTTTCTTCTGTTGAACACAGATGGCGCCATTTGGTCACGTTTTCAGAGGATTTCCTTCAAATAGATCATTTCCAGTGTTTTTCACAGATTCAATAAATTCAGATAGTTCCTATGTCGGATTTGATTTCTGAATCTTACAACTAGGATCAATAATGACTAATTTCACATGTTTTTCAAAGTCCTTCAGAGGCTGGGAGCTCCTTAACTTTGCATTAGAGGAGCCACGACTGTGTCCATTTTCTAATCACCAATATTTATGATACTGCTGCTCACACCCGGAGGCACTGAGGGGACCCCGGGTGTGGAGCTCCGGACCCCGGCACGGGCTCCGGCAGTAGCGGCTTGTGCTCGGATGAATCACCGCTGCTCGTCTCTAATGACAGCGATCACAGGGACAGACCATAGGGACATACCATAGGGACAGATCATAGGGACAGATCATAGGGACAGATCATAGGGACAGATCACAGGGACAGACCATAGGGACATACCATAGGGACAGATCATAGGGACAGATCATAGGGACAGATCATAGGGACAGATCATAGGGATAGATCATAGGGACAGATCATAGGGACAGATCATAGGGACGGATCATAGGGACGGATCATAGGGACAGATCACAGGGACAGATCATAGGGACAGATCATAGGGACAGATCATAGGGACAGATCATAGGGACGGATCATAGGGACGGATCATAGGGACAGATCATAGGGACAGATCATAGGGACGGATCATAGGGACGGATCATAGGGACAGATCATAGGGACAGATCACAGGGACAGATCATAGGGACAGATCATAGGGACAGATCATAGGGACAGATCATAGGGATAGATCATAGGGACAGATCATAGGGACAGATCATAGGGACAGATCATAGGGACAGATCATAGGGACATACCATAGGGACATACCATAGGGACAGATCACAGGGACAGATCACAGGGACAGATCATAGGGACAGATCATAGGGACAGATCATAGGGACAGATCATAGGGACAGATCATAGGGACAGATCATAGGGACAGATCATAGGGACATACCATAGGGACAGATCATAGGGACAGATCATAGGGACAGATCATAGGGACAGATCATAGGGACATACCATAGGGACAGATCATAGGGACAGATCATAGGGACGGATCATAGGGACAGATCACAGGGACAGATCACAGGGACAGATCATAGGGACATACCATAGGGACATACCATAGGGACAGATCATAGGGACGGATCATAGGGACAGATCACAGGGACAGATCACAGGGACAGATCATAGGGACAGATCACAGGGACAGATCACAGGGACAGATCATAGGGACAGATCATAGGGACAGATCATAGGGACAGATCATAGGGACAGATCATAGGGACAGATCATAGGGACAGATCACAGGGACAGATCATAGGGACAGATCATAGGGACAGTATGGAGCCCACACAGAGCAGTGCGGCTGGATCACCCCTGCAGACAGCCTCCATCTCTGCCTCTGTCCCCGCACACATTTGTCGAAACGCGGCTTTGTTTTTCCTCCAGAGCGGCGTCTCCATTGCGGAGGAACACAGCCGAGTCTGGGCGTCTGTCCGCGGGATACGAACACACGACCTCCCCGCTCTCTGCCGCCGTGTGTGAAAAACAGCCCTAATGAAGCTGTAATAACAGAACAGTGTTGAAATGTGACTTACCCTGGAGCTGGGCCATGGAGGATGCTCTCGGATGGATCCTTCTGCACGGAGGACATGGAGTTTTGGAAAAAGCTGAATCCACGCCTTGTAGGCGGGACGCTGCAAGTGTCAGAGCTGCTGCTGGGCCTGGAGCTCAGAGCTGCTGCTGGGCCTGGAGCTCACAGCTCAATGAGGCGATCGATGCAACACGTTTTAACTGTTTAGCATCGGCTAAAAAGCGTTCTGCTGCTGACCTGACCTCACATCTGTGCAATAAGGCCACATGGTCCACTGTCTCCTTTAGCCCAGAGCTTCATGCTGCTAACCTGTTAACCTGTACTTTAGTTTCATTCATGGATCTATAGTTTTCTTCACTGAATATTTGAACCCTGTGTATTACAGATGTTTACGGTTAGAATGAAGTATATATTTGCACTCTAAAGCAGAGGTCAGGAACCTGTGGCTGTTTGTGTCTGACCCTCAGATAATTCTTATTGAGCATTAATCATGGTTTTATTATAATAACGGCATAAATAAGAGAGAATGTGTTTGATGTCTTCTGAGTTAAACAAAAAACAACTATTAGACAAAATAAAGACTCCTGAGACTAACACTACACTCGAAATGTGATCTTATTCTAAAAAGAAAATACACTTCCACAGAAATACATATTAAAATGAGCTAAAAAGGTTCCCAAACTCTGCTGTTGAGTATTCAGGTTTATCTTATATGTGTAAACTTTTTCATCAAATGTTTTTTTTATTAATCTAATCATGTGTTTAACTCCACATGCAACAGGTGGCTGCTTGTCAGTACAGATCAATGCACCTTTATGGAAATGTCATTGTTGCAGTGCATACAGGACAGTAGTAAGAGCACACCAATTATACACATAAGGTTTCCACTGGTTGTTCTTTTTGTTCTAGAACCAGACAAACGTACTAAAGTGTTCTAGCTGACAGTGATTGGCCAGAGCTGGAAGCCATGTTACCAGGGAATTTCCCAGATACTGGTATGTTGTGGTTAGATTGGTTTGGTGCCTATCGCAGACCATTACATCACACACGGCCTACAGGCTACAGCCACCGCAGGCTACAGCCACCGCAGACGAGAGACACAAAAATGATGAGCACAGCATTTACAGTCACGTCACAGTAATTTTATTTTTCTGACAAGTCCAACATCGAGCCGCAGAAACACAGGGCACACACACACACACACACACACACTGTAATAACAGGGTCTGAGTGTCACGTCATGCTCCACATCAAAAATAGGATTTCTATTCTGACAGTATCTTTATATACAAATGCAGAATCGAATCGTGGAAGTGAAATTGATGATCTGGCTGACGCTTGGGTAATTCTGTGAAGACTGAAATAAGAATGATGGGAAATGGGTCGAGTTTGATGAGAACAGTATTACGAAAGAGTTTGGAAAGACAGTACAGCACGGCATCAACGATTTAACACAAAACATGGTATTAAAACACAGACACTACACACACCAGGCGTAGAATTATGACCGACTGAAACACTTTTGCGTGTTGATTTATAAGATGATTATTGGTCCCACGGTGGGGAAATGTCAGTGTTGCATCACAAGTTACAGAACAGTAGGAAACAGGAGCACACAAGAGAATGTACGAGAATATTTAGATTAGTAGACAAGTTATAACTATACTTTAAAGTCTCTTCCTATGTTGCAAAATGACATAAGGAGCGAGATCAGGCGCTGTTCAAGGATCCGTGGGAAAGGGATTAAAGAACTTAAGAGGAAAACATCCAAAGAACTCTGATTTTTAAGATAAAAGTTCATTAAATCTAAGACCTATAGACATAAATACAACAAATCAAAGTACCTCAGACCTTTTCCTCTTAGTACTTCTATTGTAACATCTGGAACCAAATATAAAAGGTAGTCCAAACCAGTCTCGCGCAATGGTTCTCAAAGTGTGGGGCCTCTGAGGGGAGAGAGGTGAAATCGCAGTAACATACTACAAGTATTTCACCATTTATTTGACAAAAAAATGATAATTCAAGTGAAATTGGGTCAGTAGTGGGGGTCGGGGGCCGATTTCACGCATACTTTAGGGACAAGGAATGAAAAGAACCCCTGGTCTTACTACTTATTACTTTTTCTTGATCTACTAGCAAAAGCAGCTCTGTATGTCCTGCATATATATTTTTCTGAGTTAATAATATCCTAAACTTGCCCTGTTGTAACACTGGTTAGACGCTGAACTGTTTTTCTTTGCATGACAATAAAGTTGAATCTGATATCACCCAGAACTCCCTTAAAAAAAGAGGTTCTTAATCACACTGGGACTTTTCTGGTTAAATAAATAATAAAATAAATCTTGTATCATCTATGCAGGTCATGTAATGTTATTAAACTTTGGTCCCTGAAGCCAAATTTCAGAAACCGTTACAGCCACTTATCTCTGTACATTTTGTGTGCACTTACTGCCGTTCTGTATGAGCACTGCAACACCGGAATTTACCCACTGTGGGACAAATACGCGTTCTCTTAGAGTGAGTAGACCATGGGCAATATTAACAACAAAACATATCCGCAAACCGCAAAAATGCATAACAATTGCAAGTCTATTTTGGACTCAGGATTCTCTCTCATCTAAAATGTTGAGAACCACAAACGTATTACTAAAGACAATAGTTGTTTTGTCAGTGGTCATAATGTAATGGCTGGTTGGTGCAGGGACGCCACTGCACACAGAATCTACATGTACTTTGTTCGACCGCACGGTAGCAGCAACATCGAAACAAAACCACGGTACAGATTTGGGATGTAAACTGGTGTCAGAGGTAGGAAATGGTCCAGAACACGATGAGTTCCAACGTCAAGGCCCCGCGAGGTCCATTGTACAGCGTCAAGTATTCATGTGGAAGAAAATCTGAGGGTCTCCATTAGTTCTTACTCTTGGCTAAAATCGATTCTGTTCAGTATCGCAATATTCTGTGCATAAAAATTAGATATTTTGAATTGGTATTTTCTCTGAGGTTTTTGTTACTCAAGTCTAATGTAGTTCAATATTTATGTTGTCCGGTAATAAGGTGTGTGTCCTGAATTTTCAAGGGCAACATTTTTGCACTTCAGATAATGTGCAGACCATAATAATTGTGATATTTCTCATTTTCCTCAATTTTGTCAATGCCTTTAAAAAACATGTTGGATTTGAATCCAATTTATCACAGAATTGAATCTCAAAACTTGCTTTGTCGCAATAGATTAAGAATCACTATTGAATTGTGGTCCGAATAATGCGATACTACAGAATCAAATTTTTGCCAATTCCCAGCTCTTCTCTCAACAAGTAGAAAACCCATGAGAAAAGTTAAGCATGATGTTTGAGAATGGTTCCACTCAGAAGTTTAAGGCAAAAAGAACAGGTTTATATTAGAGAGAACATGTAGAAACTGGAATATCGCTGGTTGCATATAAATAATATATATTTAAATAATCAGAGGTGGAACTAAAACTGGTGGGTGTTTTTTGTTTTCCGTTTGTTTGTTCTTCAAAGTGTTGTGACTTGTGGCCGGATTGAATAATTATAGGTTTTCATAATTAGACGCTATGGAGTGGATTTGGATAAGAGTTCATAAAACAACTCATGACTTATCAGGAGGTTGATATGCTAGAAAGAGAGTCCCAGCCAGAGTCCCAGCCAGAGTCCCAGCCAGAGTCCCAGCCAGAGTCCCAGCCAGAGTCCCAGCCAGAGTCCCAGCCAGAGTCCCAGCCAGAGCTCCAGCCAGAGCTCCAGCCAGAGTCCCAGCCAGAGATCCCATGAACGTCTGAAAGGAGGGCATTGGAAAAGCCACATGGGCAGCTACTTGTGGGAAACTAAAATTAACCAAACACCATTTTATGTCGATTGATTTTCTCAAAAAATAACTTGATTTGATAAGAAAACATACGCAAAGAGTGGGCCGTACGTCACTAATGCTTTATCTTGCATGGCACCTCTTTAACAGAGACTAGTTCCCTTCCCCTCCCCCCTTCCTCCCCATCAGCTAAAAAAAATAAAACCCACAAGATGCAGTTGTGTTTACAAACAGAAATGTGAAAAAGTGGTTTGGTTACATTAGAATAACCAATCTCAGGCACTCCATCAACGTCCCACACACTTTTAAAATCACTAACCATTTACACACATCTTTCGGGGCAAGTACATTAAAAAAATCTACATTATTTTGGACTCTGTTAACAAAAATAATACGTTTCTGTGTCATTTCATAATTTGCATATTCATTTCTCCATAGTACACAGCAGGACACCATTCCCGTTTGCCAATCCCTCGCTCAATTCGGGAAAACGTCAAAACCTACGATCATACATAGAAATTATACGAGGCAAACCCCTATTTTAGATCAACATTTTGATTGGCCAGTTGGAATAAGAGTCCGTCAGATCCCCTCTGGTTAAACAGGCTACTTAAAAGGATGCAAGGCTATTTTATATTTACAATAATCCAAATTGTATGTACAGGCAAGTCCTTTTTAAGATTCTCAGAAGTTAAAATCATGCATTTTCACCGTGCGTTGTTCCGGTCTCATTTTACAGTATAGACATTTAACATTTACAATATTAAATAGAGGAGAGGTTAAAATCTGACGTTATGGCTGCACCGCCTCCACTCACCTCTAGGTGCGAGTCCCGTCATAGAGTTTTGAATAATACTTCTGCTTCTGAGTCGCTTTGGACAAAGTTGTGGTAAAAATGGGCGGTTGGTGAACGGGTTAGTGGCTCATTCAAAAGAGCATTCGTCAGCAGAACCAATCACAGGTCTCCATGAAAAGGTAGAGTTCGAAGGAAGTAGTATTCATCTTGATTTAAAGCAAACATATACACGGTAGATGTATGCACGTACTGGATATAACTTAGAAAAATATAGTGAAATCCATACAGAGCATTTACCAGGGACGCAAAACAGTTTTATAGAGGTATGAGAAGGCTTTAACACCTTTAACACTTTATGATTTTTCTTCATAAATCATTGGGTGTTTGGACAAGAAAAAGAAAAGATATTAAGATTTTCCCAAATTTAGGAAAGAACCGTCCTCTCCACTTCTTGAAAAAATGACAATTAGTACCAATTAGGACCAATAGTTTCGATGATCCACCTTCACCTTTAAATAAATCATAGGAGACAGTGATCGTGTGCAAGACTTTTTTGCGGTGTCTAAATGTACGCACATGCTTAAGTTGGTTCAAATGATTCAAACTTTATTTCACTTCTCAAATATCACTGTGTTTGTCTCCTCTATGATATATTTAACAGACATTTCTTATCCAAACAACCGATGATTTATAGATATATAGATGGATAGATACTTTATTGATCCCTGTAGGAGAAATGCAGGTGTCCAGCAGGAGAAGACTCATCCAGGTTTGTCGTACAGTCTGACAGCCGAAGGAACAAAGGATCTCTTGAAACGTTATATTAAGGAAAATCATCAAAATGGTTCGGGGTGCCCAAACTTTTTCATACCACGGTGGAAGGTTCTAGCCAAAGCGCAAAGCGGGAAGCGGCCAGCTACTGTTGAGGCTTGTGGAGATGCAAGCCCACTCACAGGAATAACACGCGTTTACACTCTCAGCATTACATAAAACCAAAATGGAATATGGTTTCAGGCTGGTCTATTCTTTAGGCTGCATCACACTGGGGCTTTACAGTAATTTGATGCTGCTCGACTCAATGCAACAGTTCTCAAATTTCACCGCTGTTTCAAAAGAAGTGAAATGACCGACTTTGCTAGTGGACCAGTGTAGACCACAGACCGTATATAAGGAGAGGACTGACGAGTGCTGCTGACGTCCCCATAGTGTTAGTCTTAATGTGAGGGAGGCCGATTAGCGCTAGCTCAAACAGGCTATTTGAGCGGGAATGTGGAGCATTTAGTGGTAGCAATGGTCGAGTTACCAAGCCTCAATCATACATGCATGGCGTCAATCTATTCGCTAGCTAAAGCCAAAATCTGAGGCTCCTGATTGGTTAGTTTTTAGGGCTCATATCTAGATTTACAAAGAGAATATCACAACATAAACGCCAGGATCGAAGAGAGCGCTAAACAATGGATTTTGACAATAGCGGTTACGGAGCTAGGTGTTGACTTTACAATGGGAGCCAGAACTTTTAACAGGAACCAAAAAACGTGAGCACATTTCACCGGTTTTAGCTTCTTTGCACTGGCTTCCTGTTTATTTTAGGATTGATTTTAAGATTTTATTGTTTGTTTTTAAAGCTTTGAACGGACTGGCCCCTCCTTACATCTCGGACCTCATCCAAATGTATCACCCGCCCCACGCGCTGAGGTCCGAGAACCAGCTCCAGCTAGTGGTGCCTAAGACGAGGCGCATATTTCAATGTGTTGATTTTATCTCTGTGCAGCACTTTGGAAACTTGTTTTATAAAATGTGCTATATAAATAAAGTGGATTGGATTGGATTAATCCATAAACACTTCCCTATTGGGCTTCCTTGAGCTAGCAGGTTAGCATGGTCCATTTATATACAGTCTATGGTGTAGATGTACACAGCTAGTTGCCCAGAGTTCATTTATCTTGTGTGTGTGAAGCAGGCTAGACCTTCCATTTGCCAAAACGGTCCAAACGCATTCAAATCAAGATGAATACTCCTTGTTTTTTTACACTGAGATCTTGAGAATCTTGCTTTTTCCACTGGGGTCTTTAAAATCATCCCATCTCTTCGGGTCCCTCCCTTTCCCCCGTGCGTGCCAAAGATGAGATGACAGCTTGACATTTATAACACACCAACAAGACTTGACTGTAGCTGCGTTGTTCACCAGTCCGCGCTGTCCCAGCTCTCTTCCACCGGTTTGGAGGGGCTCTTTTTGCTCTTACCATCCGAGTTCTCCCAGTTGCTGTCCCAGGCCTCCCAGCTATCCTCACTGTTCTTGTTGTTGGAGGCAGAGTTTTCCACGTTGGTCCAGCTGTCCGAACTGGGAGATTTCTTGGCCTTTAGGGAGTTGTTGCTGCCGAAAGTTTCCCAGAAGTCTTTGCCCCCGGTCTGGCTCGAGACGCCCTGGTAGCCGCCGTCGGTGTTGTCCATGTTCTGGTAACTCTCGCCGGTCGAGCTGGAGAGGAGTAAGAGATGATGAAATAATTAAATTCAATGTTGTATATTCCTAAAATCACAACAGGAGCCAATTCGGAAAGACTTTACAAAGCTGTAGATTCGCTGACAAAGATCAGAGAATCACACGGTTTGAACAGAGCGAATGCAACAATAAAAACACACAGACACACACACATCACCTCTGTCCTTAGACCTTCCTGCAGATGCAAGGAACAACTCAAACAAACCCAGTGGGGAAAAAAGTGAGAAACCCTGGGGAGGCCCATATTGAGGGATGGACCTGCTCCAACAACAGATCAGAGAATCAAACAAGCATAGGAGCCACTGATCTATGTCCATACATTTTAATTAAGGCCAATAAATGTCCATAAATGTCACAGATCACTGTCCTTAACTGCTATATGCCAAAATACAACGCTGCCGAAAATGATAAAATATCAGGTAATATCAGGAAACCTTTAATGGTTTCCTGAAACATTTGGAAGATCAACTTGGAAGCTTTGAACGGAAATCAACCCATTTGGAGAATCTCTATCTCTTTGTTTTAGGCACTTTTACCATCAAACTGCTACACAGCCATTTGATAAAGGCCTGTTATTATAGTACAAACATTAGGGGTTAAAAAAATGGGTTTTTAGTGCTCCCATATCTTAGAAAATCCAAAAAAGAAAAATAAACACATCGCTTTTCACAAGGATTATGAAAAGAGTCAAAGCAAGTGTTTTTTGTTTTTATTCTTAAAGTACATTCTGAGCGTCTTAAAAACAAGATCATTTTGCTTTGTCCTATTGGAAAATATAGATTTAGGGCACTCAAATTAAGACACATTTTGCCAATTCTGAGTTAATTTTGGAGTTCTTTTCCATCACTTTTTGCATGCACAGCAGAAGGCAGGCAAAAAGAAGAAATTAAGCTATTTTTTATGAAAACGGTCAGTATGGACTTTTAACAACATGGACAGAGCTCCTTTGTGTCACTATTTGTTGGAGTTAAATGTTATAGAAACATCCTGGTCTACTTTTCTTCCATCAGTAATCCAGATACAACAGTCCTTCGGTCATTATGCCTCTGTAAAGATCTTCTCTCTACGGTAAATATACACAGCTCTATAATCTACTGTATGTTATTTTGGGTCATGATAAATCATACCGTGGAAATCTCAAACCCTTCCATTCAAACATGTAAACTTGATGTTCTGTGTGTGCTTGTGCCTGCTGGGCTTTCTGGTGATGGGGCCGTTAGTTTTATTGATTCACTTTCTTACACGATGTCTAATTAGAAAAAAATGACTAACAAAGACGAACTGTGGACTTATGAATGCTCAATAACACTAGACACAAAAGCCATTCGGAGAGAATCAGCCAAAGCAACCAGTGTACTACCTATAGGCTGTGTATAGATGGACAATGCTAACCCGCTAGCTCAATGCAGCCCAATAGGGGAGATTAATGTTTTATTATTAACTATTATAAGGAATAACATGTCATTGTAGCACTCACTTAGTTGCAAACATAGAGACTGCCATTCATTTAAATAGGAAGAAACCGTACGAGTTTGCAGATGCGAAAAGGTCCGAGGGCCACATAGAAACATGAATCGGGCCGCATGTGACCCCTGGGCCGCACTTTGCCCAGATCTGGGTTAACACTGGAGACATCACACTCTGTCCACTCGGAATGAAAGAAGAAATGACAGCAGCAGAACAACAGGTCATAAAATCTAGCCATGGTTTTAAGACTACAATATGGAATTTTGGTTAACTCGAACTGCCGAATGAAAAACATTGTGATATTTAGATAAAAACAGAACATTGTGTAACTAGAACTCACCCGTCCTCCGGTTTTCCAGTGAAGAGATTTGTTAATTTGGAGCTAGCTCCCTGCACCTAAAGGAAACGTGATCGCATTAGTTTGGTAAAAGCAACAAACTCAAATAAATGGTTTTATAAATGTAGTACTGTATTGTTTTTATACACCACTGTTCAAAGGTTTGGGAACGCCTATTTTGGCTAAATTTTCTTTTTTAATGAGGATTATATCAGATTAAGTTTCTTTCTGCGAGCTGTTTGTTTGATTAATGAGCACTACTATATGCCTTGTTTCTGTTCTTGCACTTTGAGTATGAACTGTGCTACACAAATAAACAAGAAAGACTTCTCGGCTCTCGCTGGTGATTTTGAATGAAATACATCAGGTACAGATGGACATTCCATGGAGCCATCAGTGTTCTTGCTACGTGTGTATGTAATGGAGTTTTAGTATGTGAACTCTGATCAAAGAGACACACTGGGTCTTCAGATAGTTTTATACCAAACTTTCTGAAGACCCCTACTAAGACTTCTGTCATGTTATTTTGGCCTCAGTCACATCTTTACATCAGCTTTTTCAGACAGAAAAGTGAAAAAGAGAGAACCTCCCTCACTCAGCCAATCAGCTCTGAGCCCAGAGTATGAAACAGTGACTGAAAAACAGTATGTAAAAGAGAACTCATTTTCTAATAACATGTGCAGAGCATGTTGTGGTCGGATTTGATCAAAACATGTATGCATCGTTCATGGGTAAAAAGTTAGGTAACCCAGCTTTAAATGTGCCCCATAAAGAAGTTTTGTCATTGGGATAAACACATTTATTTTTGTTCATTTTTGTCAAGACGTCTTCCACTAGCGACCAGATAACTTTCAGTATCACACGCCTACAGCAGGGGTCTCCAACCTTGGTCCCCCTGAGAGCTACTTTTTCTGAACTAAAACTGAGCTAAATAAATGATTGGAACAATATCTGAACTCTGAACACTGTAAAGCAACTTGGTCTGTAAAATGTGCTATATAAACAAACATTACTTACTTACTAAACCAATTCTGAAATCTGAACTTTAAGCTTCTGTGGGAACAAAAAAGGCTATATTGATGTCTATGTAATGGTGTGAAATAGTTTTAGATGAGGTACTGTTACCAAGAATCAATATTTATCTTATGTGTTAGCTTGCATACTACATGTTTGAAAATTCAACATTTTTATGGCATTTCTAAATCCTTTGGGGAGCTACTTGCAGGAGAGAGGAGCTAATGGTAACTCCCAAACTATAGGTTGGAGACCCTGGATCTACAGTGTACTTACCATCAGACAAAGGCAGCAAGAAAAACAACAGACATTCATTAAACATTGTTGAAATAATAAAATCACTGCAAAACCAGCCTCTGTCACCGATACGGAATAAGTCTACCGTCTTTATCTTTAAATAAAACTGCAAATATTATCAATAGTGGTTGAGGAGGCCGATTTCACAGCACATGCACATACCTTGTTCGCCAGCCCAGAAAAGCCGACGGCCATTTCATCTAACAATTTTCCATCTTTGACCTAAATGAGTCATAATAATTAGCACATTTAGGAAAACAGGGGTTTAAATATAGGATTTAATTATTGCGACGCGTAATTTAGAGATAAGTCGCTTCGAACAATGGCCAGAGGGGCCTTGGACACAGTCGATTTTCACACAGCATTTTATAAAACATTAATTTGTGAATTTGCCATTGTAAGATTATGGAAAAGGCAAATTTGACATTACATTCAAACACTGTATGATTGGACAAGCAGTCGTGACATAAATCAGTGTATTATTGGGTTGTTAGACAAGACATGACCAGGGTGAAGCAACAGTGAAATATATTAAAGAAGTTTTAGCCCCGACACACCACCGTTTTCCCAGTTTTCCCATTCCACATCCTGAATACTTACTTCCATTAGTGAACAAACAAGAGCTGTACATTTGATTTCAAGGCTAAAATAATGTTTTCCATAAAAGTAAAGTAATTGTCCTCATATTTTTACATAAATCAGAATAAATCATCAAGGCTAGATATGTTTAATATAGTTATAATATCTTAACCGGTGATTCTCAAAGACTAAAAGGAGATAAAAGTAAGTATTCAAATCCAATCAATCTAACAGCTCATTTTGTGCGTCACTAAAACCTCTCATCTATAATAAGTAACACCAATAACTGAGGAGGCGATTGAGAAGCTGCAGCACCAAAGGAGATCAACAATGGACAGGGCAACGTGTGGAAGTAAAATAATGTAGCCAAGGTTAATGACAGCAAGACAGTGAAGCCAAACTTTAAGTCTATGTTTAGAACTTTATGAATCCCTTGTTATAATGACATGCTCTTATCGTTCGAAGCTTCCCATTGTTGTATAGAATATGCCCTTCCTAATCCCATGGCCAATCAGCCTCATAACTATACCCTGTCATGAATGTGAACGCCTCTTGTTTAAACTTGGTCTGTTCAAATGTCTTCCAAGAAACAGCAGTGGTACAGTGTCTCAGCTTTTAATATAACCTTTGTGTGTCAAGCAAATATGGACAGAATACTGTACGGTCTGGGTAATGTGGAGAGGTGGTGGTTTTCCTGAGAAAGTTTTAGCATCTAGCTTTAAAATGAGGTATAACTTATACGATGACCCTAGCCCTAAGAGCTGACAGCCTATGATTCAGATTCAGATTCATTTATTTGCCATTTGCAGTAAAACCACATTGGAAAAACTGTGCAAGACTACCCCGGTGTGCGCCAGACAGAGACGACACACACCAGAGCTCTTGCCACGGCGCCATCTTTCCGGCGCCATGCGACAAACAGTAGAATAAACAGCAGAGAGCAATAACATACAGGTTACAACAGACAGTTGGATAGAAAACATTGTGCTTTTTATAAACCACGGATTTTTTTTCGGGATGAGCACCTTCCGCAGCCGGCCCAATGTGGCTGTCAGAGGGGGGCGGGGTCAGGGAGGGGGTGAGCCGGAAACACAGTGAGGAGGGGAGGGGAGGGAGAGATCAGAGGGAGGCGAGGGGAGCGGGATCCAAGCTGGAACTGACTGAAAGAGTGTGAAATTGTTGTAGAGTCCAGATTTATTATGATGGCCTTGGCCCGAGGAATGTGAGATAAGAGAGGAGGGAAGACACAGCAAGGAGAAAAACACATCTTCCTGTAACGAGGGACAATGTTTTATGCATTTTAGCAGTCAAAAACAGGCAGATATTCTATTAAATCCAATTAAACCGAATTGCGGCGCCCTCAGACCCCGTACACAGGGGCCAATCCAAGCCGGGTCAGAGAGTTCAAGCGTGACAAACAATGTCATTCAATCTCAATTCCAGAGTTTTATGCCCATCAAGTGAACGAGCTGCGAGATCTTTGATCAACTGTTCCACCAACACCACTCTCCGTTGTCCAGCCACGGCACTCTCAACCACGACTCGGTTAAGCTCCTTGTACATCCCATCAATTTTGTTGGCCAGCAGGTCGTGAATCTTGCGAACTGCCATGCCTCCGAATTTATGGTAGAATAGAACTGCTCCAAACCCAAACAGGAGGATCCCCACCACCAAAAAGCCAAAGATATATACGTCTTCCGAATCTTCAATGGACAGGGTCGACAGACAGAGGGGCTGCCACTTGTTCCAGCTGTCAAGCGTATAACCCGCTGGTGAAGTCCCGTCCGGGCACTCGGGCTCTCCAGACCCACGCTTACGTGTTGAAAAGATAGAATCAATTGCGTTGAGGGACCAATTTACCATTTCCATTCTTGCTAAAAGTTGTCTGTGGCAAAACTCCAGGAAAAAGACAAAAACAGGAGATAGCAAGCAGTCAGAAGCAGGAGCGTCTGAGACACGTCTTTGCTCGACGGAGGCGGAAGAGAGAGAATGACACTTTGATTCTTTGAGCAAAGACCCAATTCAATACTAAACATGTAAATGATTGCCAATTTTGATTTAACTATTTTTCTCCAAAACTTGTAATTTATTGATCATTCCCTGTTTGCTATAAGTTTTTTTTTTCCTTCTGAAAACCCTTAAATAACTAATTTAAACAAAAGTTACTATAATGAGGTACTGTATATCATTACACCGTTGCGTGGTAAGAGGTTGGGACTGATAAATTGGGTGACCTCCAATGTAAATGAATGCAGTTAAAACACAACCCACTCCTATTGGTCAGCTGCTGTGAGGATGTGTGTGGACTTTGTGAAATAGCAGAATACCTTCTTGTTTTTACGTCTTAAGGGAAATAGAAATATGGCCTTGTCACGTTCCCACACAGGAAACCCAGCATGTAACCCGTCTGTATTGGACGCTACATGAAAGAGTCTTATACTTCAGAGGGACTTTCCGGTTGAAGGATGAATATGTAGAAAAAAGTTTACTTCCAGAACTAGACCCAGTCTGTCCACTGTTGAACTCTGCAGAAAAGGTTTGGCCCACAGAAACAGCAGAGCGTGAAGCAAAAACCAGGCAAAAGCAAAGCAGCGGCGAGACACAGAAGCCGATCGCGCCTGAACTAGAGCAGCAAGAGTCTGCAGCCGTTACCTTTTCCTGCGTGGGTTTGATAACAGTCTCATTTAAAGTCTGTCCTAATTCAGTAGCCTAAAGTCAGAGAGGAAATGAAAGAAAGTTTGGCATTCTCAAAAGTGCAAAATAATACAATCCATTCGATTGCAGTGAACAGGCACTAGAGGGCGCAATTGTCAATGCTATACTACACAACACTATACAATACTATGGATATTTCAGCTTAGACTGGGCCAAGAATAGTGGTCTATAACTCAATTTATTTTATATTTCTGAACAGGTTAGGTCCAGGATTGTTACATTATGATCAGACGAATAATAACAATGAACCGTTTTATACTTTGTAGTTTATGGTCCGAAGAATAGCTACAGGATGTCTCGATAACAAACGGGGATCTAATTATTTGTGGAATATATGAACTGAAAATTGATTAAAAAATGTCAAGTAAAATTTTGATATTCGTTTCAGTTACGATAAAAAGTAAAAAAATCATGGGCCTTATCTTTTATTTGACTCGATCGTTACTTTTACCCATCCCACCTCTAGTGCCGCGTCACTCGTTACATGCTTCACAGAACAACATTTTGGGCAAAAGAAATAAAGGCGTTTCCTCCACAGCACAATATACATCATTTAGATGTTACATTAAATTTCAGGTTTTTAGTCCTGGACCTTTGACATTGGAGAAACTTTTGTAATGTTCATCACTAAATCGTTTTCATTAACTTGAAATGTATGTTTTATTTACAATTCAGATGAAGTTCAAAACTGCTCAAGACAAGGTCAAATAATACATCACACATCAAAACATGGATAATATCTTTGCATTGCGTGTAGAATTATAATTAAAAAGGAAATTACAGATACGCCATTAATTAATATGAATATAATATTTATGAAATATTCCCACAAAGGGACGAATAAAGGTCCTCTTATCTTAGGCCCTGTTTAGACGGAGACGCTGCTGCAGTAAAACGCTATAGTTGGTGTCGGTTGCTACCCTCCGTTCATACGGAGACTGTGTTCCAGGTGAAAACGTAAGTGTTCAGATCCAGCCTCAGAGTGGGACAGCTCAGATACGCTGCTCAGCAGGGGGCGCTCTTTCACACCCGTGTGAGGGAAAAAGGTGTGAATTCTCTGCTGCTGCTCTGACCACCTCGTCACTGCTCCCCGCACGTACATTTGGACATGCGCAATAGCCGAGAACAAACGTAAAAAACAATGGCGGAGGGTTAGGGTTAGCACTAACTAGCTACGTGTGCTTCGAGCGCTACACGGAGGAGGATTCTACACCTTCGTTCGTCCAAACGAAACCACGCAAAGCTCTAATTTCAGTTTCCATTTCCGCAGCTGCTGTTATATTCAGAATGATGCTGGTTCTTTCACGTCTTTGCGACGCCCGAGGAGGATGTTGTTGAGGAAGTGAGTATGCTGCTGGGGTTTGCGTGTGCCGCGGTGTCAAGTTCTTCTGCCCCCTACTGGCCGGGCGCTAGAACTACATAGTTTGTGATCCTCGTATGAACGCTGTGAAATTTGCATAAGAAGCCTGGTCATTTCGGTTCATAGTTTGGAAACGTCTGCGCAGCCCTCCGTAAAAACGGGGCCTTAGCTTATTTGATCTTATCGTCAGTTTGTAGCAGAAAATTGTAAATTTATATTACAAATTAATTTCAAAGTAAAAAAAGTTCAGGATGACGAGAGACACTAAAAAACTGAACCCAACTTTTGCGAAATCTGTAGGTTCCCTGTCAGCAGAGGTCGAGCCGCTTTCTACATCTATGGGGAAATCTCCTGACAGCCCATGAGGATTCAAGCTGCAGTACCACAGGTGGCCTCTAGTCCATGTGGAGACAGGTTTAAGCAGCAATACACTATCCAGGTATAAAATGTATATAATGTGCTGGAGAAAAGGCTCAAAGTCTCTGCCATGTTTTCTGTCTTTATGATAAAAGTTCAACCATGCAAATCCATGCCACAACGACCATTTTGCAACACGAGACGGATATCACATTAAATACACAACGATGATCAGTGATGTCGAAACTCAAAAAGTAATTTGAAGATGGTTTGGACAGTGGCCATGCACCTATGAACGAGATGTGTTACCGGTTCAGGAGGAGCTTTATACCCCTTTAACTAAATCCAACGAGGCCAAAGAGATTCACATGACATAATTATTTCACTTCTCAAGTCAGATTTAATTTATTTGCAAAATGGCAAAGAGAAAATTATCTGAACACTGCAAATCTAAAAGTCAAGAGTTCCAATTAGAGCTTACCTTCAGCTGGGCTTGACTGGCCAGTTTTGTGGTCTGCAAAGAAACATTATCAACATTATTATTATTATGTATTGTTTAAAAATGCCAATACTCAGGAAAAGGCAACCAACTTTGGGGGTTTTAACTAGGATTGGGAATCGGCAAAAATGTGACAATTTGAGTGTAACATATTGCGATGCAGGAAGTTTTGCAATTCTATTTGGCGATATAATATTCAAATGCATTACAAACAGGTAAACATGACTCAACCTAAATGACTTTAACTCCAAATCATAGTTAAAACATACAGCAGCGTCCACGGTAATCATAAAAGGCATTGTCGATGTTAAATAAAACATTAGTCAGAGGTGCTTACATTATCTTTAGCGTAGGAGGCGAACTTGCTCGCTCCAACTGTAAAACTGCTCCATCCCTGTAACACAAAGGAAAATCATTGAGAGCAAAGTGTGTGATGAAAAACAAAACAGGAAACAAACGGAGACTGACTGAATAAATGGACGACATGGCGTTGTTCATAAAGTCCTCGTCCTTTCTCTCTGGAGTCACCGTGTTTCCAAAACCCACGTAACGGTTTTCCTGGTTCCCGCTGTAGCCGCCTCCACTGGAAACAGAAACAAATTAAATCAACTTTTTTTTTTTGTGTTGTAAGGGATGAATGCAGAGGTTTTATATAGTGCTTCAGACGGCACAATTCATTCATTCTGTAAACATTGCCCTGAGGCAGACTGTAGACCACCACAGAGTATTCATGCATTAGTTCCACTCAATGGTCCCTGGTTTAATGAGGGGGTTACGTTCTAAGAATGATCTGTAGTAAACTAAATCTATGAAGTAGCTCTATGCTTTAAGGCTGTAAAACTATTCACACACTTTTCTAATCATCTGAACTAACGACTGCTGATGTGAGAACGACCAGAGATATCAAACCTGTTGGTTATAGGTCTGAGCGCTGCTGTAGCTGTCAAAAGCTGTGCATACACTGTAAAATACAGCTGCAGAGGACACTGAGGGGCAGGGGCAGGACTGACAGCAAAGGGAACATCAGAGACAGACCAGAAAAGGAGACCAGAATGAGGGAGACCAGACAGGGCCCAGAGAGAAGGAGACCAGAGAGAAAGAGACCAGAGAGAAGGAGACCAGAGAGAAGGAGACCAGAGAGAAGGAGACCAGAGAGAGAGAGACCAGAGAGAGAGAGACCAGAGAGAGAGAGACCAGAGAGAGAGAGACCAGAGAGAGAGAGACCAGAGAGAGAGAGACCAGAGAGAGAGAGACCAGAGAGAAGGAGACCAGAGAGAGAGACCAGAGAGAGACCACAAAGAGACCACAGAGAGAGACCACAGAGAGAGAGACCAGAGAGAGACCACAGAGAGAGACCAGAGAGGGACCACAGAGAGAGACCAGAGAGAGACCACAGAGAGAGACCAGAGAGAGACCACAGAGAGAGACCAGAGAGAGACCACAGAGAGAGACCAGAGAGAGACCACAGAGAGAGCCCAGAGAGAGACCACAGAGAGACCAGAGAGGCAGGCTGCAGTATTCATCTGAACTACAGTAACCAGCACGGTTCACACGTGCCACAAACGTTTCCTTCTGCCTTTAAATAAAAGTAACTGTCATGTTATACTAGCGGTTCCAGGATGTTGTTGGAGTCTACGTGCGGTGCATGAGACGCAGGCTATTTAAAAAAAACAAAAAAACACAAAAATACACTACTTTAAATCATAGCTAAGGAAATCATAAATAGGAGAAAGACCTCTGATAAGAGTTAACGTCATCGCTGAGCCAGTCTTCAAAAGCCTTGTCTCCAGATTTACCAGAGTCCTGTGTGGTTCCACTTGGCCTATAAAAGAACAACACAACAGTTGGGCTTTAACGATAGAAAAAGTAAAATACATACAGTGCCTTGCAAAAGTATTCGGCCCCCTTGAACCCTTCAACATTTTGCCACATTTCAGGCTTCAAAACATAAAGATATAAAATCTTAATTTTTTGTCATGAATCAACAACAAGTGGGACACAATCGTGAAGTGGAACGAAATGTATTGGATAATTTAAACTTTTTTAACAAATAAAAAACTGAAAAGTGGGGCGTGCAATATTATTCGGCCCCTTTACTTTCAGTGCAGCAAACTCAGTCCAGAAGTTCAGTGAGGATCTTTGAATGATCCAATGTTGTCCTAAATGACTGATGATGATAAATAGAATGCACCTGTGTGTAATCAAGTCTCCGTATAAATGCACCTGCTCTTTGATAGTCTCAGGGTTCTGTTTAAAGCACAGAGAGAACCATGAAGACAAAGGAACACACCAGGCAGGTCCGAGATACTGTTGTGGAGAAGTTTAAAGCCGGATTTGGATACAAAAAGATTTCCCAAGCTTTAAACATCTCAAGGAGCACTGTGCAAGCAATTATATTGAAATGGAAGGAGTATCAGACCACTGCAAATCTACCAAGACCCGGCCGTCCCTCCAAACTTTCATCTCAAACAAGGAGAAGACTGATCAGAGATGCAGCCAAGAGGCCCATGATCACTCTGGATGAACTGCAGATAACTACAGCTGAGGTGGGGATGGTGTGTTCAGGGTGATGAGCTGTGTTGCTTTTACGCCAAACATATCATTTTGCATTGTGGCCAAAAAGTTTTATTTTGGTTTCATCTGACCAGAGCACCTTCTTCCACATGTTTGGTGTGTCTCCCAGGTGGCTTGTGGCAAACTTTAAACGAGACTTTTTATGGATATCTTTGAGAAATGGCTTTCTTCTTGCCACTCTTCCATAAAGGCCAGATTTGTGCAGTGCACGACTGATTGTTGTCCTATGGACAGACTCTCCCACCTCAGCTGTAGTTATCTGCAGTTCATCCAGAGTGATCATGGGCCTCTTGGCTGCATCTCTGATCAGTCTTCTCCTTGTTTGAGATGAAAGTTTGGAGGGACGGCAGGGTCTTGGTAGATTTGCAGTGGTCTGATACTCCTTCCATTTCAATATAATTGCTTGCACAGTGCTCCTTGAGATGTTTAAAGCTTGGGAAATCTTTTTGTATCCAAATCCGGCTTTAAACTTCTCCACAACAGTATCTCGGACCTGCCTGGTGTGTTCCTTTGTCTTCATGGTTCTCTCTGCGCTTTAAACAGAACCCTGAGACTTGATTACACACAGGTGCATTCTATTTATCATCATCAGTCATTTAGGACAACATTGGATCATTCAAAGATCCTCACTGAACTTCTGGAGTGAGTTTGCTGCACTGAAAGTAAAGGGGCCGAATAATATTGCACGCCCCACTTTTCAGTTTTTTATTTGTTAAAAAAGTTTAAATTATCCAATAAATTTCGTTCAACTTCACGATTGTGTCCCACTTGTTGTTGATTCATGACAAAACATTAAGATTTTATATCTTTATGTTTGAGGCCTGAAATGTGGCAAAATGTTGAAAGGTTCAAGGGGGCCGAATACTTTCGCAAGGCACTGTATATACAATGTACATCCAATGAAACACCAGTTCAGTGCAAAAGTTTGGACACACTTCAAGATTCAAGATTAATTTATGATGTCCCGTAGGAAGTTTGTCTTTGAGTCAAAGGCTGCTACATTGAAAATACACATAATTCACTCATTCAATGAGTGTCTTTTCATGACTATTGTCTGTAGATCCACACCAGGCTGTGTAAGGGCTGTTTGACCAATAAGGAGAGTGATGGTGCTGGGCCACATGATCTCCAGTCACCGGACATGAACCCAGTCCAGATGGTTTTGGACCTGAACCCAGACCAGATGGTTTTGGACCTGAACCCAGTCCAGATGGTTTTGGACCTGAACCCAGTCCAGATGGTTTTGGGGCTGGACCACAGAGTGAAGGGGCCAACAAGTGCTAAGCATCATGGGAACTCCTTCAAGACTGTTGGAGACCATTTCAGAGAATGCCAAGAGTGAAGCAGTATCAGAGCAAAAGGAGCGACTTTGAAGAACCAGAATATTACACATATTTTCACTTGTTTCATACTTTTTTCTTAGTACGTACATAAAACCACATTATTTAATTCATAGTTTTGATGCCTTCAGTGTGAATCTACAGTTTTCATAATCATGGAAATAAAAAAAACTTTGAATGAGAAGGTGTGTCCAAACTTTTAGTCCGTACTGTAAGTCGATGCAACTTTTGTCATAGTTTGAACTGAAGAGACATATTCTCAGTCTCACCGATGGGAAGAGGAGAGGCTGGTCTTGGGTTGGGGAGAAGTCCAGTTTTTGGCAGAGGAAGTTTCCATGGACCACTCTTTTCCTTCAGCTATAGTCGCAACCTACGAGACCATAAATATAAATGGAAGTATTTTTAACAAGCTCAATCTTAGCCTCCGTCAGGTAGAGGAAAAGTCCGCAAATATGGACATGCAAACTCAAGAAGGATCATTTCTGCACTAATGTATCCATGTGAATGTTGACAAAATGCAGTTTGTAAAAGGGTTAGGAGAAGAAAGTAACTTGCACCTTTCTGAGGAGCAGATACATCCATCCATCCATCCATCCATTTTCTACCCTTTTTAATCCATTTCTGGGTCAGGGGGGTGGCAGTCAGAGATGCCACCCAAGTCTCATAGCACCAGCCCCTCACTGACCCTCTGCAGGTGGTGAGTCCACAGGAGGACGGCTGCTCTCTGACTGTGAGCATAGCCTTGATCTTTCAGTGGGGGCTTTGGGGCCAAGTGGGGTTAAGTGTCTTGCCCAAGGACACAACGACAGCAGTCATCAGTGGGAGTCGGTGGAGAAGGTGCAGAGGTGGGAATTGAACCCACGACCTTCTGGGCTTACGGCCAATGCTCTACCAACTGAGCTACTGTCGCCCCGCAGATACAGGAGAGTATTATGAAAAGTTTAAGAAAAGCAGTTTTCCAAAAGAGAAAGAGAGGGCCCGGAGAGAGAGCCCGGAGAGAGAGCCCGGAGAGATACAAAAGATAAACCAGAGAAAGAGAGAAACCAGAGACCAGATGATGTGAGATCAGAGAGAGACCTGATGAAGAGAAACCAGAGAGATCCAGTTTATAGAGGAGAGAGAAAAGAGGCGAGAGGACAAGACAAGACAAGCCAGGAGGAGGAGAGGAGAGATACGAGCGGGGAGAGGAGTAAGACGAGAGGAACTATCACAACTTACATCTCTGTCTACAAATTTCTGTGCAACTGAGCATGTCATTTAAATGCCTTCAGGGAAGTCTGACCTTGATCCCAGTGTGTCACAGCGCCACCAACAGGCCTGGCATAGTTTCACAGAATTTGCAGGTGTATTGACTTGACAAAAAACCTCTCTCCCAATGCCTTCTTCAGATACCTTTCCTTTCGGACCAGAGCACGGAGTAATAACCCAGGTGGAATGGTAAAGCTTCTACCACTTTACCTTGTCCCTGAACAGAGCGGCGGCCCGGCTGTTGTACTTTTCCTGAAGATTCCAGTTGGGGTTGTAATCGTCCTGAAGCTCCAGAAACATCCGGAACTTCCTGTTGCCCCCGGCTTTCATCTTCTCCAGCTCGAGGTCTTTCCACTTGTCCATGGTGACGGATCGCACAAAGCTACGACAGACACGTTAAACGACCATTTCAGAACAATAATAATAAAAAGATTAGCACAGGCTTAAAAAAAAAAAACTCTGTAAAAAAGGGTGACAAAACGGCAGTAAAGCCAGAGCCAATTCTCTCTGGTCTGGTCACGTCACAGACTTTGGCAGCATTTTTTTTAGCCTTTGGGTTTAACTCTGCTATGACCAGTCTCTGCAATCACACAACATTGCAGGTAACCCTCTAGTAAGTAAGTAAGTAATGTTTATTTATATAGCGCCTTTCTCAGACCAAAGTCACAAAGCGATTTACAATTTTTCATTTTTGGGCATTTGTCTCTCACTCCACGCAGAGATGGGGGCGGGGCCAGTACAGGAGGCGCATGCCAGACCTATTGTACATGTTTTCAGTGGCAGGGTAAACCGGAGCACCCGGAGGACACCTACGCAGACACGACGATTGCTTTATCACTCAATCAAATGTATAGAGCCCTTTACAACACTCAAGGCGACCAAAGTGCTTCACAATAAAATTACATAAAAGCCATTAAAACGTGTGAAAAGTGTAACCTGCTAATGAGTGATAAAAGTGTTAAAAGCCAGTCTGAATAAATACGTTTTGAGCCTTGATTTAAAAAGGTCAGCGCATGTCACGGGGGCAGCTTTTTCCAGAGTCTGGGTCCAGTGACAGAGAGACCCCAATGCTTTAGTCACATAAGTAATTGCTAAATGAGCTCTTGAAGTCCCATAAACATGTCCCTACATTTATATCTTATTTTTATGCATCTCTGTTATTTAGTTTTATTAGTCATCTCAGAATACTAATTATTTATTCTGCCATTGTAAGTAACCAGAAGTAACAAACTAGGAATTTGCCTTGGTATATGGTACAAACAAGTTATGAAAAGTAAAAGTAGTAAAAGTCAAGTCAAGTGTTATGTTATTATTACTACTTGTTATATTTTGTAAATGTACCCAAGTTGCTTGTGATTAATTTGTACTAATCATTTCGATGCCCACTTACTTGCCTGAAATAAATAAATAAATGCCTCCATCTAGCATCTGTTTCATATCAAATATATAAAAAACTAAAGGGTTAACTGATAAAATTCTAAATTATTGCAGACAAATTCGAAATGATAATGATTTCTTTATATGGAGCCTTTCTGGGCACTCACGGTCGCTTATAATGAGTAAGTTCCATAGATTGGTTTACTGTAAGTATGTTTTTCCCTGAACATATTGGTTCATGTCTGGGTCAGGGAACCAAATACAGACACAGAGGTATTCACAAAAATATCAGAACGCAATGCTGACACAGACGCACGGAGACAGACCGTGAAAGACACACGACATACATCCAACTGGACGTATGACATTTGGTTGTGACAAGTCAGTGCACGTTGAACTGTGTATCCAAAAAAGAAAATTACAGGTAACGTTTTAACTCCTCCCTGACGCTCAAAGGTATTTAAGCAGCATTTGTAAATAATAAAGAGAGTATTTGTTTAACTGCATTTCTCTGATTCATTGTTTAAACCACATTGAGTGATTGTTCCAGATATCTAACAACTGTGTTTATGCAGGATATTCTCGGCCACCAGAGTTTATGAGGCTGTGATCATATAAAATCACTCAAATCCTGATTTTATTTGCCATTCTCAGGGATTTAAACCTCACGTCTGATCATTTTGATTACCTGAGGTGGACTCCCAGACCCCTGTGTTTTCCAGAGCACTCCAGACAAATCCAGATCCCGTACGTAACACTGACCCACTGAGGGTTGAAGGCGCCGCACTCAAAACACAGCTGCAAAACAGACGTAAACAGAACCATATGAAATAAATCTGGTAAAAAGTCACCAATTTGACCTGAACAGGGAGACACAAAAAAACTTACATTGTTTTCATCGTCAGTTCTCACTTCCTTCAAAACTCTCCTGGTCCTGGGACTTGCCATTGTAGCTGGAAGAGAAAGATTAAGAGATTGATTATTCGTCACACAGAGGAGAAATGTCAGTGTTGCATCAACGGTAAAAGAACAGAAGGAATGAGGAGCACACAACACAAGATAAATGAACAACAACTAATAACTAACTCAAATAAAATCTGACTTTAACATAAAAAAGAAGCAAATATGATGTATATTTTAGTGCAAGGAAATAGAATTCTATAAGAACATTCATTTAATTCGGGCGTTCTGCTCTCCCAAAATTCCATCCACTGAGCGGCGCTGTGATCAAAAAATGACACAGTTTGTTGCCCAGTTCACTTCCGGTTGATTTCATACAATGGCGAATATGGCTCACGAAAACAACAAACGATTGACAGTGCCTGAATTGCGTGAAAGGTTGAAGCGAAAGGGTATTTGCAGTGTGGGAAAACGAAAGGAGGAATTGTTGTTGCTAGTTCAACGAGCGGAGGGTGTTTATGAAGATTTAGAAGAAGATGACAGCGAGCAGAGTGAATGAAAACGGCTGTGTGTGCGAGTGACAGATGGTAACAATGAGAATGAAGTTCAGCTAAGAGGGAAGAATGTGAATTGGACGGATGATTTGCGCGATATGCCTAGAGACGGGAATGTATTTGCATACAGAAAATGACGAAAACACTCAACCATTTAGAGAAAATGCGCCGGGCAGAGAGAACCGGAAGTTGCGAAGGCAAGTGTTACCCATAATGCAACGCAAAATTCAGTCGCTCCCCCGCCCATCGGATGGAATTTTGGGAGAGCAGAACGCCCGAATTGAATTCAATGTATTTATATCTAGTCCTTAATCACAACAGCAGTTGTCTCGGAGGACTTTAGTTTTGCAATAATAACATATTGGCTACTCCACTTCTACTGCTGTGACCCGTCCTGCTCCACCCAGAGGCTACTCCACCTCTGCTGCTGTGACCCGTCCTGCTCCACCCAGAGGCTACTCCACCTCTGCTGCTGTGACCCGCCCTGCTCCACCCAGAGGCTACTCCACCTCTGCTGCTGTGACCCGCCCTGCTCCACCCAGAGGCTACTCCACCTCTGCTGCTGTGACCCATCCTGCTCCACCCAGAGGCTACTCCACCTCTGCTGCTGTGACCCGTCCTGCTCCACCCAGAGGCTACTCCACCTCTGCTGCTGTGACCCGTCCTGCTCCACCCAGAGGCTACTCCACCTCTGCTGCTGTGACCCGTCCTGCTCCACCCAGAGGCTACTCCACCTCTGCTGCTGTGACCCGTCCTGCTCCACCCAGAGGCTACTCCACCTCTGCTGCTGTGACCCGCCCTGCTCCACCCAGAGGCTACTCCACCTCTGCTGCTGTGACCCGCCCTGCTCCACCCAGAGGCTACTCCACCTCTGCTGCTGTGACCCATCCTGCTCCACCCAGAGGCTACTCCACCTCTGCTGCTGTGACCCGTCCTGCTCCACCCAGAGGCTACTCCACCTCTGCTGCTGTGACCCGTCCTGCTCCACCCAGAGGCTACTCCACCTCTGCTGCTGTGACCCGTCCTGCTCCACCCAGAGGCTACTCCACCTCTGCTGCTGTGACCCGTCCTGCTCCACCCAGAGGCTACTCCACCTCTGCTGCTGTGACCCGTCCTGCTCCACCCAGAGGCTACTCCACCTCTGCTGCTGTGACCCGTCCTGCTCCACCCAGAGGCTACTCCACCTCTGCTGCTGTGACCCGTCCTGCTCCACCCAGAGGCTACTCCACCTCTGCTGCTGTGACCCGCCCTGCTCCACCCAGAGGCTACTCCACCTCTGCTGCTGTGACCCGCCCTGCTCCACCCAGAGGCTACTCCACCTCTGCTGCTGTGACCCATCCTGCTCCACCCAGAGGCTACTCCACCTCTGCTGCTGTGACCCGTCCTGCTCCACCCAGAGGCTACTCCACCTCTGCTGCTGTGACCCGTCCTGCTCCACCCAGAGGCTACTCCACCTCTGCTGCTGTGACCCGTCCTGCTCCACCCAGAGGCTACTCCACCTCTGCTGCTGTGACCCGTCCTGCTCCACCCAGAGGCTTCTCCATCTTTGCTGCTGTGACCTGAAGGCCTGTGGCTGATTATTACTATTATTAGATTTTTACTGCAACTGGACACCTGAATTTCTTCTACGGGGATCAATAAAGTATCTATCTATCTCTCTATAGGAGCCATTGGTCCATAAATGTTAATAAATGTCCTTAAATGTAGCTGATAATCAATTTCCTTTTTACCTAAATCATTTAATATCGCAATTAAATGATATTTTCACTTCAAATGTACCTGCAGTGAAAGAAAAACTTGTATCATGTAATAACGGACTCCCAGAGTTCAGAAACCACGAGATGCTCCGAAATTCCCCCCAAAAAGGTTTAGTTTTCTAACAACTTTTTTATGAAGTAATTTCATCTTTATTGTATAACTTGAACACAGTTTGGTGAAAGACCAAAGTAAAAATGCTGTAAAGTAAACAATGCGTTATGGTAAATAGCAACAACTAGCTAACACTTCTCTGGTGGAAAACCCATCTCAAACCAGGACCAGTCCAGGACCAGTCCAGGACCAGTCCAGGACCAGTCCAGGACCAGTCCAGGACCAGTCCAGGACCAGTCCAGGACCAGTCCAGGACCAACACAATGAAATAAGGCTTCAACTGACATAGAATGCAAGTGAACTGAAAATGGCAACATTAGAATTTAACATTTAAATGAATGGAGTACTCACATTGAAAAAATAAAAGTTAATTTCATAACACAATGACAATAAACTACATATAGCTACAGAAAAATTCAAAGTTATGAAGACCAAGAATTTACATATACGCCAAGTAATTATTAAAAGGCGTCAAATTGACTGCTCTGGGAGTTCTAGTGTTATTTGCGCAACCCCAATTAAAAGTAGGAAGCCTTCAGCAAGATTGTTTACCAACTAAATGAGTTTGATATGAGTCGATAACTGAATGTAGACAGTATTTATAGGGTTATTGAATCAACTGTACCATAAGTATAATGGTTAAAATCAGTCTCACATGGAAAGCCAGCCCAAAGGTTTCAAACTCAACTCTTAAAATTCACACTGTGTCTTCAGGGAATATTTCCAGTGCCAGGAATTTCATGTATGTTTCTAAAGCAAACAATTTCCCCTTAGGTCTAAATCTGCTTCTGATCAAGATTCTACAGAAGATTCTGATTAAAATCCCATTCTAAACACAAGTGGATGACACAGATGTACAAACAGATACACAGAAGGCCACGAGACTTAGAAATTAAGTCTTAAATGTTACAGTTTTACCCTAAATGTGACAGTACATGTTGATGGTAGGAACACATTCATATCCCTGTCAACGTGGCAGTGTGACGCCTAAAAGCAGACAAAACTAATAAGACATCATTTTTCAACTGCTTCCGGGCTAAATAATTATACAATAAAGAAAACAATTTGGTGAAAATATGAAATCATTATTCATGTTTTGAGAAAAATGCAGTCGTGTCCCACCAGCTCCATTTAGCAGTGGGGAGGATGCTAATGCTAATGCTAATGCTAACAATCAATTTACAAAACGATTTATAAATGACATTCTGAGTGCTGTGGTCATTTACACACAATAAACAGCGCAGTAGTTCTCATCACACAATTATAAATATTTTCATTAGACTTTTAGCATAAAAATAGTGCTGATGCTAACGTCCATTAGCTTGTGTTAGCCGCGAAGCTAACCCCAGCGTTACCTGTCTATGGAGGATGTGTCACGCAGTCGCTGGTTGTAATCACTTTTCTGGCTCCGTGAGAGGATTATTTACGGTAGATTCAGTCAGATCAGAAGGACACAGCCTCTGTTTTTCCCCGCGACAGGCTGTATCTCTGTGTGTGAGCAGTGTTTTCAGTGGAAAGATGGTTTTAAACACCGGTAGCCATGTTCCTGGTTGGTTTGTATACGTTGGCACCGCGATGCATCATGGGAGTGTTGAGCCGTCTCTTCTTCTTCTTCTTCTTGTGGATTTCCGGCAGACTGTACGCCAGTCGGCGCATTGCTGCCTTTCACTGGTGGATCCAATTATTGCACCCTAGGTCCATTCAAATTCTCTGGTACAGTCCGGTACTAAAAATAAATTCCACAAGCGCACGAAAAACTTCTTGCTGCTGCACATGGGGAGCAAGCAATGATCTCAGATTCACCCGCTCAAGTCCCAGGTGAAGAGCACGAGAAAACAGCAGTCTTCTTTGGTCCACATATTTCCTACATTGTAAAAGAACATGTTTCACTGTCTCTTGCTCACTGCACTCTTCACACAGGCCATCTCTGTGCTTACCGATCCGATACAGGCTTTGAGCAAGTCCACAATGACCCAGTCTCATTCTGGTTATCATAACCTGCTCCTTCCTGTTATTCCCCCGGGTTGCTTTATCCCCCCCACTAATACTCTGCTGGATGCTGTAAAAGTGCCTTCCTCTTGTCTCCCTGTCCCATGCTCTCTGCCACTGCTCACACACTCTCATTTTAATTAGATGCCGATGCTCACACACACCAAATGCCACCACCACCTCTACTCTTTCGCTCTGCAAGGAATTTTTAGCAATCCTATCCACCACCTCATTTGCATCTACCCCCACATGCGCTGGAACCCACAAAAAACCCACATCATTCCCTCCCCTCTCTATCCTACACAGAACGCTTAGAGCCTCATATAAAAGATCTGGTCTTGTTTTAGACGACCCTGCCTCAAGAGACAGCAACACAGCCGCTGAGTCTGAGCAGATAACCACACTCTCTAGTCTCAATCGCTCAATCCATTTAAGGGCCCACACTATTGCCATCAATTCGGCTGTAAAAACTCCAATTCCATCTGGGAGTCGTCTGCCCTGACTCAGGGCCAATGTTGGGCTGTGTACCCCAAACCCTGCTCTCCTTCTCTGAGGGTCGACCGACCCATCCGTATACACTTGCAGGGCACTGTTCCAGTTGGTCACCAATACCTCCCTCACAATCTCTTGGGCACA